CTGACATCCATTTTGGTCTTTTCTTTCTTTCCTGTCTTTTTAATGACCTCTTGCTTTCTTCATGTATGATGTCCTTGATGTCATTCCACAACTCATCTGGTCTTTGGTCATTAGTGTTTCATCTCATCAAATCTATTCTTGAGATGGTCTCTAAATTCAGGTGGGATATACTCAAGGTCGTACTTCGTCTATCCTGGACTTGTTCTAATTTTCTTCAGTTTCAACTTGAACTTGCATATGAGCAGTTGACGGTCTGTTCTGCAGTCGGCCCCTGGCCTTGTTCTGACTGATGATATTGAGCTTTTCCATCGTCTGTTTCCACAGATGTAGTCGATTTGATTCCTGTGTTTTCCATTTGGTGAGGTCCATGTTTATAGTTGCCATTCATGTTGATGAAAAAAGGTATTTGCAACAAAGAAGTCTTTGGTCTTGCAAAAGTCTATGATGTGATCTCCTGCATCGTTTCTATCACCAAGGCCATATTTTCCAACTACCGATCCTTCTTCTTTGTTTCCAACTTTCGCATTCCAGTCACCAGTAATTATCAGTGCATCCTGATTGCATGTTCGATCAATTTCAGACTGAAGAAGTTGGTAAAAATCTTCAATTTCTTCATCTTTGGCCTTAGTGGTTGGTGTGTAAATTTGAATAATAGTTGTATTAACTGGTCTTCCCTGTAGGCGTATGGATATTATCCTATCACTGACAGCATTGTACTTCAGGATAGATCTTGAAATGCTCTTTTTGACGATGAATGCAATGCCATTCCTGTTCAAGTTGTCATTCCCGGCATAGTAGACCATATGGTTGTCCAGTTCAAAACGGCCAATACCAATCCATTTCAGCTCACTAATGCCTAGGTTATCAATGTTTATGCGTTCCATTTTATTTTTGACAATTTCCAATTTTCCTAGATTCATACTTCGTACATTCCACGTTCTGATTATTAATGGATATTTGCAGCTGTTTCTTCTCATTTTGAGTTGTGCCACGTCAGCAAATGAAGTTCCCGAAAGCTTGACTCCATCCGTGTCATTAAGGTTGACGCTACTTTGAGGAGGTAGCTCTTCCCCAGTTGTCTTTTGAGTGCCTTCCAACCTGGGGGGCTCATCTTCGGACACTGTATCGGACAGTTTTCTGCTGCTATTTTCATAAGGTTTTCACTGGTTAATTCTTTTTAGAAGTAGACTGCCAAGTCCTTCCTAGTCTGTCTTAGTCTGGAAGCTCAGCTGAAACCTGTCCACCATGGGTGACCCTGCTGGTATCTGAGTACCAGTGGCATAGCTTCCAGCATCACAGCAACACACAAGCCCCCGCAGTATGACAAAGTGATAGACATGTGGGGGTATGGGATCTTAGAAAAGGTTTTATTGTCTTTAAAGCAGATCCCACAACTAGCTGCATATCAAAATCACAAAACAACAATAGGTTCCCCGGAGGACCCCAGAGATTAGTATTTAGGACATCTAGGGGTTGTGGTATAGTGGTTAAGTGCCGTAGCTGCTAAACAAAAGGTCAGCAGTTCAAATCCACCAGGCGCTCCTTGGAAACTCTATGGGGCAGTTCTACTCTGTCTTACAGGGTTGCTATGAGTTGGAATTGACTCGACGGCAACAGGTTTTTAGGGGTTGTGGCCTAGGAAGCTATGTTTGGACCTGCATTTGGGAACTGCTGGATGAGGCTTCATGTAGGGCTTTGTATTCGTTTTCTAGTGCTGCTATAACAAATACCACAAGAATGACTTTAAGAAAGAGAAATTTAGTCTCTCATAGTTTAGGAGGCTAGAAGTCCAAATTTAGGGCGCCAGCTCCAGGGGAAGGCTTTCTCTCTCTATTGGCTCTAGGAGAAGGTCCTTGTCACCAATATTCCCCTGGTCTAGGAGCTTCTCAGCGTAGGAACCGTGGGTCCAAATGACACACTCTGCTCCGGGTTCTGCTTTCTTATGGGTAGGAGGTCCCCCTGTCTCTCTGCTCGCTTCCCTCTTTTATATCTCAAAAGAGATAGAGTCAAGATACAGCCTAATCTTGTGGATTGAGTCCTGCCTCATTAACATAACTGCCTGTAATCCTGCCTCATTAAAATCATAAGATCATAGAGGCAGGATTTACAACACATAGGAAAATCACATTAGATGACAACAGATGGACAATCACACAATTCTGGGAATCATGGCCTAGCCAAGTTGACACACTTTTTTATTTTTTTATTTTTAATTTTTTTGTGCTTTAGGTGAAAGTTTACAGCTCAAGTTAGTTTCTCATAAAAAAATTTATACACATGTTGTTATGGGACCCTAGGTATAATCCCTATAATGTGACAGCACACTCCCCCTTTCCACCCTAGATTTACCATGTCCATTCAGCTAGCTCCTATCCCTTTCTGCCTTCTCATCTTGCCTCCGGACAGGAGCTGCCCATTTAGTCTTGTGTATCTACCTGAACTAAGCAGCACACTCTTCACAAGTATTATTTTATGTTTTATAGTCCAGTCTAATCTTTGTCTGAAGAGTTGGCTTCGGAAATGGTTTTAGTTCTGGGTTAACAGAGAGTCTGGGGGCCATGTCTTCTGGGGTTCTTCTAGTCTCAGACCATTAAGTCTGGTCTCTTTATGTAAATTTGAGTTCTGCACCCCACTTTTCTCCTGCTCCATCAGGCACTCTCTGTTGTGTTCCCTGTCAGGGCGGTCATTGGTGGTATCTGGGCACCATCTAGTTCTTCTGGTCTCAGGCTGATGGAATCTCTGGTTTATGTGGCCCTTTTTGTCTCTTGGGCTAGTATTTTCCTTGTGACACACATTTTTGTGGGACAGAATTCAATCCATGACAGGCTCCTTCCAGCTTTGCAGTGTATGCTTTAACCTCTTAGTGTGTTCTGTTCTAATGTTGACATTGATGTCCAAAGGTAGCAGTATGATCTTGTCCTCCAGCTTGAAATACCAGTGTAGTCACATTCTAATTTTCCTTTGAATCCCCCAAGGCTCCACATGTCCTCATTTGCATAAAGTATAATATCCTCTTGAGGCCACCCAAACTGCTCAAAAACCTTGAGGCTCAATCCAAAAGGTAGAAGCCATTCCTGCTTCCAGTGGCTAGGCAGAGAGAGCAGGAAAGTCTAATCACCGTCTACTGTTTCTCACTGAAAGGCTTTCCAGGATTCAGCGATGCTCTTGCTGACCCCTGTCCCTGCCATCACCATGTGGAGCTCCACACGTGAGCCAAGGTTACAGGTTTTTCTAGTTCTCATGGCATACTCAGTCAGGACTTGATCTGCATGCAAAGCCCAAGCCTCCCCTATACACCCTTGACCCCAGTGTTAAGATGAAATGTGCCACCCCCTCTCCCCAGCCCTTAATGGCCTTTCCTGCCAGTAGAGCTTCTGTGTCATAGCATTTGATTTCCCTAACTTCAGATTTTAAGGAGCGGGGATTGGCGTTATCACCTCTTATTTCCTTTTAGAAGACTTCTTATGAAAATCAGTCCAGCCTCTCCCCAGGGCCAGTCATGCATATTAAGGCAGCAGACCCTAGAATCAGCGCCACTGCTTAACGGTGACCTGGACGAGTTATTTAACCTTTAAAGCCCCAAAGTGGGGGAAATAATAGTGCCAAGCTCATAGAATTATTGTGAGGATTAAATGAGCTAACAGATGTTTAGCACTTAGCTTAGCGCCTGGCATATGGTACACACTAGTTAAGTCTCAATATTATTGTTGTTATTAGGAATCACCCTGGCCACAAGAGGTTTCTTTCCCAAGAGCACTCAGTGCCTGTCAGTCCTTAACTAAGGACTCATCAGTCAAATCTGAAATCAAGATCGGCTTCAAGACTGAGTAACTCCTGGTGCTCCTGGTGGGTTTTATCTCCCACAGTCTGAATCTCTGCCATCCCAGGCACCTGTACGGAACGGCCCTATATTACAGGCACTAATGCTGCGTAATGAGTTGAACATATTTCAGATAAGCCTGTGAGGAGAGAAAATAAATGAAGGTAGAAAACCAAACTTGTTAAAAGCAAGGATACAAATATGAGGGGCAGGAAATAACTATTGTTTCTAGGTCTAACAAAAAGATCAAAAGAGCTTCTTCATCTGAAGTTCCAAACCATTTATCATAAGCATTAATGGTGAATGCGTATCGATTGCTTCTGTGAGCCAGGCACCACACTAAGTTATTTGTATTCATTAACCATCTGCTGTAAATACTGTTATCCTTCCCATGTAACAAATGAGGAAGGAGAGGCTTAGAGAGGGGAAGCCACGTGCCCAAAATCACATAATTGGTAACTGAAGCCAGGATTTTGCCCTAGGTAGGTCAATTCCAGAGCTCAGAGTGTTAACCATTCATTTCAGATACAGGTATCCCCTGCTTTTCGAAAGTTGAGCTTTATGCCACTTTGTTTGTAACAAAAGACCTACACTAGTACCTATTTTTGCTAACTGAAAGAAATCCAAAGAGGATTTATGCTTTTATGAAAAAAGGTGAAGAGCAGAAATAGCATTCATTTGTCTTGCAGCGAGCCTTTAAAGAGGCAGCGTACACCCGAGCAGTGAGAGTGGCGTCACCAAGCTCCTCCTTTCAAGTTCCTCTGCCCTTATTGAACCACCCAGCCACATCCAGTCAAATGCTTGGTGATGTATAAATGCACCACGCATCGCGGGATCCCATCCTCGACTTGCCCCTGTGCATTTCTCTAACTGTAAGACTCATCCCTCGGCACACACAGTTATTATAAATCCCGCTCTTCTGTGGGATTTGAACCCACCATTGCCACCTAGCCTTCCGGGGCTACCGTCATCACCACCACCATCTCCCAGTGTGCTCGCTGTCTTCCCGATTCTGGTAAGTGAAAGTACACTGTACATACATTATTTTACTTTATATAGGTTGTGTATTGCATCATTCCTGCTTTTACTATATGTTATTGTTATTTTAGCTTTTATGTGTTATTTGGTAGGTTATTTTTGGGGTCTGGGAATGCTCAGAATTTTTTCCCCATATAAACTAATGTTAATTGCTTCTTCATTTTACGCCATTTTGGCTTACGAAAGCTTTCACAGAGCACTACTTTTGGATAGCGGGAGAAACCTGTATCTCCCACCCCACCTCCACCTTCGAAATGGATTTTTTTGTTTAATGTTTAACTTTTTTTTAATTTTAATTTTATTTTTTAGTAGGATATTTTTAGAACTGCTTTATGTTTACAGAAAAATTGTGCAGAAAGTACAGAGTTCCCATATACCCCTTACCCCAATGTATTCATGTTTATATGATTTTAAATCAAATTGAGGGAGAGGAGTATTGCTTAAAAATGATAGAAGGAATGGGTTGAGTAAGTGGGAAATGAGTTGAAATAAGTTGAGTCCACAATTCATCTTTCGCAGCCAAGTTAATTAAGCCCAGTAGGTATACATATAATCTTCATGACTCAAAGCTTACATTTTCAGCTTTCAGTTGGGGTATCCTCACTATTTGATATGCAATAAACATTCTCTCTTATTTTTCACTATACGAGCAACATCATTTTTCAGTTTCCACAAGCTGGATTCCAGTAGGTCCCCAAAGTTCTTTAACATTTGTGACCGTTGGTGTATAAATGGTCGAAGCATTTGATCATCGTCCTAAAAAATAAGTGAAAGAAAAAAAAATGATAGTAGTAGACCTCATTTAAGGAGACTTGGTGGCTCAACAACAGTTAAAGAGCTCAGCTGCCAACCAAAAGGTTTGTGGTTCGAACCTACTCCATGGCTCCGCGGGGGAAAAGACCTGGTGGTCTGCTCCCATAAACATTACAGCCAAGAAAACCTCATAAGGCAGTTCTACTTCGTCACATTGGGTCGCCATGAGTCAAAATGGACTCGATGGCACCCAACAACAACAGTAGCAGACCTCATATCATTAGAGTAAAAAGTATTGTGTAAACACGAGTGATGTGCGCAGTAAATTTTCCCTTGGGGTTGGAGATTGGAGAGCTGCTTTGGAAGCAGTAAGTCACCTGGAGCCCACTTTGTTTCAGGAAGGCTGCCTGCCTGGCCCCTGAGCTACTCCCAACAGGGAAAATTGGTGAGATAACCCAAATTGTTCAGGCTGGATTGATAAGTATATCATTCCTTTAAATACTGTAGAAGTTCTGAGGTATTCAATGGAACCCGTAGACATGGAGAATCTCTTATTTGTAGGGTTTTGCTAATATATCCCCTCCCCTGTGGAAGCAGGTGTTCCTGAGAGAGAATTGTGAGGATGCCTGTGGGCCAAGGTGTGCCAGTGACTAATGGTGGAGAAGATGGTGATGGTGGTCATTGAGAATGGAAACAGGCAGAGAGCAGTAGGTGTAACAAGGCATCTCATAGTTTTTTTGTTTCCCTGATTATTAGTGAAATGCTTATTCAGATCCTGTGCCCATTTTTTCCAACATGTCTTATTTTTATTTTAAAAGTTGTTTATATATTCTGAATGCTTACCCTTGATGATAAATAATACAAATACATTCTCCCAGGCTATGGTTATTTTTAACTTTGTTTATGGTGTCTTTTATCTAACCAGTTTTTCTTTTATTTTTTATGAGCTATACATACAAAACGGCATCCAAAATATATATGCACAGGTATAGTTCAAGTGAACACTTGTCTAACCACAGCCTGGTCAGGACAGAAGTTTGCCTTCTGTGCTCCTTCCTGGTCACATCCTCCCCATCCCGCAGAAGCAGCCACTAGCCCGACTTGTGTGATAATTATTTTGTTACCTTTCTGAACAGTTTTGCCACCTAGAATGCATCCCTACACGGTATATTTTGCCTGTCTTTTGAATGTTTACTGAATCGTTTTTTGGGACTTTAATGTTTCAGTCAACGCTGTTGGTGGTAAGAGTCATCCTTGTTGCATGTAGCTGTAGTTCATTTTCACTGCAGTGTACTGTTCCACAGTATAGACAATGTCATAATTAATCCATCTTCTGTGGATATACATTGGGGATGTTTCCAGTTTGGCACTATTATGGAAGAGGGTGTTAAGAACTGTAGGTGAACATATGCAGAGTTTCTGCAGCCTTTCTCAACTGCTCCCTCATCTGAACCACAGAACAGAAAATGATATGAAGGACTATTTTCTCAGTTCTCCCAAGAGTGATAAATAACTGTAGTACCTTTCTAGACACATAGGAAGGAAGTTAATTCACTACACACAATGGATGCCTAAGTGCAGTGGTTTTCAAAGTTTAATTTATGGCAGAATCATCTGGCAGCTTGTTAAAATACAGATTACTGGGCCCTACGCCCAGAGACTCTGAATAAGTAGGTCTGGGGTGGGGCCCTGGAATTTGCATTTCTAACAAACTCCCAAATGATGGTGGAGCTGCTAGTTGGGGGACACACTTCTAGAACCACTGCCTTAGGGCATTAGGGCTTAATTCTCTGCATTACCAGTTTACTCCTTGGAGAAATAATATCTAGGAGTTGAATTATAGGATTCTAGGGTATATACAAACCCATTGCCATCAAATCGATTCCAACTCATAGGGACACTATAGGATATAGTAGAACTGCCCCCATAGGGCTTCCAAGGAGCGGCTGGTGGATTTGAACTGCTGACCTTTTGGTTAGCAGCCAAGCTCTTAACCACTGCGCGACCAGGGCCCTGGATATATACATACTCATTGCAAATACCTTTTTTTCAACAACATAAATGGCAGCTATACATGTGGACCTTGCCAGATGGAATACACAGGAATCAAATCAACTACATCTGTGGAAAGAGACAATGGAGAAGCTCAATATCATCAGTCAGAACAAGGCCTGGGGCTGACTGTAGAACAGACCATCATTTTCTTATATGCAAGTTCAAGTTGAAGCTGAAGAAAATTAAAACAAGTCCACGAGAGCCAAAATACAACCTTGAGTATATCCCACCTGAATTTAGAGACCATCTCAAGAATAGATTTGATGCATTGAACTCTAATGACTGAAGACCAGACAAGTTGTGGGATGACATCAAGGACATCATAGATGAAGAAGGCAAAAAAAAAAGATCATTAAAAAGGCAGGAAAGAAAGAAAAGACCAAAATGGATGTCAGAAGAGACTGTGAAACTTGCTCTTGAACGTAGAGTAGCCAAAGCCAATGGAAGAAATGATGACGTAAAAGAGCTGAACAGAAGATTTCAAAGGGTGGCTCGAGAAGACAAAGTAAAGTATTATAATGAAGTGTACAAAGACCTGGAGTTAGAAAACCAAAAGGGAAGAACACATTCAGCATTTCTCAAGCTGAGAAAACTGAAGAAAAAATTGAAGCCTCAAGTTGCAGTATTGAAGGATTCTGTGGGCAAAAAGTTGGATGATGCAGGAAACATCAGAAGAAGATGGAAGGAATACACAGAGTCATTGTACTAAAAAGAATTGGTCAAAGTTCAACCATTTCAGGAGGTAGTATATGATCAAGAACCGATGGTACTAAAGAAAGAAATGCAGGCTGCACTGAAGGCATTCGTGAAAAACAAAGCTCCAGGAATTGACAGAATATCAGTTGAGATGTTTCCGCAAACAGATGCAATGCTGGAAGCGCTTGCTCGTCTATGCCAAGAAATTTAGAAGACAGCCACCTGGCCAACTGACTGGAAGAGATCTATATTTGTGTCAATTCCAAAGAAAGGTGATCGAACAGAATGAGAAATTATCAAACAATATCATTAATACCACATGCAAGTAAAATTATGCTGAAGATAATTCAGAACGTTTGCAGCAGTACATCGACAGGGAACGGCCAGAAATTCAAGGCAGATTTGGAGGAGGATGTGGAACAAGGGATAAAATTGCTGATGTCAGATGGATCATGTCTGAAAGCAGAGAATACCAGAAAGACGTTTATCTGTGTTCATTGACTGTGCAAGGGCATTAGACTCTGAGAATCGTAACAAATTATGGATAACATTGCGAAGAATGGGAATTCCAGAACACTTAATTGTGTCCATGCAGAACTTATACATAGACCAAAAGGCAGTCATTCATACAGAACAAGGGGATACTATGTGGTTTAAAATCAGGAAAGGTGTGCGTCAGAGTTGTATCCTTTCACCATACTTAATCAGTTTGTATGCTGAGCTAATAATCTGAGAAGCTGGACTATATGAAGAACAGGGCATCAGGATTGGAGGAAGACTCATTAACAACCTGCAATATGCAGATGACACATTTCTTGCTGAGAATGAAGAGGACTTGAATTACTTACTGACAAAGATCAAAGACTACAGTCTTCAGTACAGATTATACCTTATTAACATAAAACAAAAATCCTCACAATTGGACCAACAAGCAATGTCATGATAAATGGAGAAAATACTGAAGTTGTTAAAGATTTCATTTTACTTGGATCCACAATCAACATCCATGGAAGCAGCAGTCTAGAAATCAAACAATGTATTGCACTGGGGAAATCTGTTAAAAAGCAAAAATGTCACCTTGAGGGCTAAGATGCGCCTGACTCAAGCCATGGTGTTTTCAGTTGCCTCATGTACATATGAAAGCTGGACAATGCATAAGAAAGAAGAATTGATGCATTTGAATTATGGTGTTGGCTAAGAATATTGAATATACCATGGACTGCCAAAGAACCAACAAATCTGTCTTGAAAGAAGTACAGCCAGAATGCTCTTTAGAAGCAAGCATGGTGAGACTTTGTCTCACATACTTTGTATAAGTTATCAGGAGGGACCAGTCCCTGGAGAAGGACATCATGTTTGGTAGAGTATGGCATAGGACCAGGCAGTGTTTCATTCTGTTGTACATAGGGTCGCTATGAGTTGGAGTCAACTTGATGGCACCGAACAACAACGGTATATTCATCTTCAAGTTATTAGATAAATACCAAAGAAAATTTTAAGTGATTATATCAATTTATACTCCTACCAGCAGTATATAAGAGTTTCCGCTGCTTCATATCTTCACCAAAACTTGACATTTTCAGAACTTCTAAATTTTTGTCAGTATGGTGGGTTTATAATAGTATCTCTTGTTTCAGTTACATTTCCCAAACTATCAATGAAGTTAAGCACCTGTTCATGTATTTATTGGCCTCTTTGATTTCCTGTTTTGTGAAGTTCCCATTCAAGTCTTTTGGCCATTTTTTCTATTGAGCTGTTTTTCTTTTTGGTTCGTGTTGTTAGTTCCATGAAATCAGCTCCGACTCATGGTGAACCCATGTACAACAGAATGAAACGTTGTCCAATTCTGCGCCATCTTCATGATGGTTGATTTGCTTGAGTCAGTTGTTGTGGCCGTTGTGTATTTTGAGTGCCTTCCAACCTAGGGGGCTCATCTTCTAGCATTATATTGGGCAACAATCTCTTGTAAAATCTATAGGGTTTTCATTGGCTGATTTTTGGACATAGATTGCTAGGCCTTCCTACTCTGTCTTAGTCTGGAAGCTCCACTAAAATTTGAAATGCCAGTGGCATAGCTTCCACTATCATAGCAACATGAAAGCCACCATAGTACAACAAACTACAGGTGGGTGGTGGATTTGGTTTGTAGTAATTCTTTATTTTGGATATTAGTGCATTGTCAGTTGAAGATGTTGCAAATATCTTTTCCCATCCCTTTTGGTTTTCATTTTGGTGTCTTGATGGACCAAAGTTCATAATTTTAATGTATATGAATTTATCTCTTTCTTTAAAGCTAGGTTTTTTGTGTAATGTTTAGGAAATCCTTTTCCACTTAGGTTATGAAGATAGTCTCCTAAAGTGTCTTCTAAAACTATTTGGGTTTTGCCTTTCACGTTAGGTTTTTAATTGTCACTAATAATTGATTTCTGGGTGTAGTATAAAATATGGATTCAATTTCATTTGTTTCCCGTATGTATTCCTAAATCTCCTACAACTGTTTATTGAAAAGTCCACCCTTTCCACACATCTGCAGTCCCACCTTGGTCATATATTATGTCTCTAGTCCCAAGTGAATCTGTTTCTGGGCCTGTGTTCTTTTCCTTTGGTTATCTGTTTCTTAGCTATACTGTCTTTATTACAATAGCATTAAAATAAATGTTGATATTAGGTTGGGCAAATCTTCCCACCTTCTTCTTGAGTCTTGGGTCATGTCTTGGCTATTCTTTGCTTTTGCAATTCCATATAAATTGTAGAATCATCTTGTCAGATTACATTACATTTAACTGGGATGACACTGAATCTCTAAATCAATTTGGGGAGAATTTGCAGATCTACAACAGTAAATCTTCCAAACCATGGAGACATGACGTGTTTCTCCATTTATTTAGATCTTCTTTAACATCTCAATAAAGTTTAAACATTTTCTCCATAGAAGTCCTGCATATCTTATGTAGCTATAGGCCCAAGTACTTCATATATCTAATGTAATTACAGATGGTATCTTCTTAAAAATTTCATTTTCTGTTTGTTGCTATTATACTAAAATGCAATTAATTTTTAAATATTGATTTGTATCCAGCAACTTTCTGTTAATTTATATATAAATTCTTCTGGGTTTTCTGTTTACACCAACGTATCATGTGGGAATAATGACAGAGACAGCATGGTGTAAAAAGTGTTGAGACTGTGAAGCAACACTAGCTGGTTTGAGTCTGGCCCTGCTACTTGCTAGTTGTGTATGCTTGGACAAGTTACTCAATCTCTTGTGCCTCAAATCCCTCAGCTATAAAATAAGGCTAATAGGAGTACCTACCTCATAAGGTTGTTGGGAGAATCGTCAGTAAATGTAAAGTGCTTAGTATATATTATATAAATGTATGCTGCTACTGCTATTATTTTATTTTTTCCTTTCCAATTCTTATACCTTTTATTTCTCATTTTACTGCACTGACTAGAACCTCAGGTTCAGCGTCAAACAAAAGTGGAGGTAGCTGGCATCCCTGACCCCTTCCTGATCTGAAAGGGAAAATTTTCAATGATTCACCATTAAGCACTCTGTTTGCTGTATGTTTGTTTAAAATTACCGTTATCAGATTAAGGAATGTCCATTTTATTCCTGGTTTGCTAAGAGATTTTATCATGGTAATATGCTCACTTTTAGCACATGCTTTTTCTGCATCTAGTGAAGTAGCAGGTGATTTTTCTCCTATAATCTGTTAATGTGATGAATCACAATTACGATTTTGTAACTATGCACCGAGCTTGAATTTCTAGGACATTCTGTATAATGTAAAGTAAGTGAATCTCACTCCTGCAGTGGCTGCGGCTGCCTGGAACTGGCCAGATGCACACTAAAGTAAGAAAGGAAAGAGTGAGGGCAGATGGAGCCCAAGGGCAGCAGACTCGCAGTTGACCAGCCTCGACCTGCTCAGGACGTGCAGGGATAACAACTACCTAAAAGGAAAGAGATTCCTTTTGTTGCCAAGATTCTAGTTACTTACAGGAGGCGTATAATGCCCCAGCCTGAGAAACTGCCCTCTGGCCCCGTTCATGCTTTGGTAGAACACCTTGAGAGCTTTGGCAAGTTCTCCATCGTAGCTGGCTCGCTGAGCACACATTTGATAAATGTCTTTGACCGATGGCAATTGTGCTGCCATCCCAGTTATCTTCAGGGTACTGGAAGGCTTATGTGCTGCAGTAGAAAAAGAAGGTAATACTTAATTATTCATCTGTTTATTTTCACATATCTGTATGCTTATTTATTTTGGTGGCATTCTGCTATATTAGCATTATCAGGTACCAGTTTGGACTGATCCAAAGAAATATTACAGGGCAGAAAAAAAGTGTTCCACGTTTTTTTGTTCATTAAATAAGATATGGATGAACTCATTAAAACGCTCATTTCTTAGAAAGGCAAACACACCTCCCAAATGTAGGAGTTCAGGGGTAAGCTAAACAACCAAGACTTGAGCAGCTGCTCACCTTGTTGACCAGAACCAGTTTTCACCAGTGATTCTTTGAGAAGCACATTTTCCTCTCTTAGGGCCCTGTTAATGTTTCTGAGCAGTTCTATCTCCTGTTCTAACTTGAGCAGCTTCAGGTAAAGTTCTGATACCTGATTTGATGTAGTCTACAAAAAGACGTGTCAGTTTAGCCTTCTGCCAGATTACTTGATAATCCTTTGAGACTCACATCTTTTGCTGCCACATACAGACTAGATGGGGGGCGGTGAGCAGGGTTTAAGCCCCTCAGGGCACACAGCAGTAAATCAAGAAAACTTTTGTTAAGGAGAAGAAACATTGATGATCCACAGGCAGCTGTCATCTGAGATTTTCTTGTCACCTGTGACATCTGGAAACCCTGGTGGTGTAGTGGTTAAGAGTTTGGCTGATAACCAGAAGGTTGGCAGTTTGAATCCACCAGCTGCTCCTTGGAAACCCTATGGGGCAGTTCTACTCTGACCCATAGGTTCACTATGAGTGGGAATCAACTTGGCAGCAACGGTTTTTTTTTTTGTTTTCTGTGACATCCATTTCAGTGTCAGGTAAGTGTACACACCTGGCCTGTACCCATCACAGTAGTTTTCTTGGTGTCCACCATGATGTGGCCTTCACCTGTGACCATGAGGTCCTGTGGAGAGCAGCTCAGTTCAGCACAGCCTTCTGTAGTGAGGGGGAGATGTCAGCAAGGAAAGAAACATCTCAGTTCAGTGGTGTGTGCAGATGTTAAAACACGTAATCACGTGCTCCACTAGAACCCAGGAAGATGGCTCCCGGCCACTCCTGTAAAGACCTGACCGCTTCCCTCCACTGCAGCCCTAGCCATGCCCACATTCTAGCTGATTGAAGAATGCACCATGCAAATAAGTAAACACGGTACCTTGAAGGCCCCATAAATCAACAATGAGAGTGTCTGTAAATAATTCAGAAATTCCTGAGATGCATTTAAGGCTGCAGATTGGACAGTCTCTTCAATTTGGGGATTCACAATTTTCCCTACAGGCTTGGTGTATAAAGTATTTGGAAGATCATAAATTCTGTACTTGAGAAAGGAACACCAGACATACATTAAAACTAGACAGGACACATTTGTGAAGAAAAGGATCAGATAAGCCAAAAGAGTTGCAGCCCAAGCATTGGTTAGCTGATAAAAATGACCCAGAACTGATTCTTGTGACTGGCCCCACAGCAGCTCAGCTACCCACATGGGTGTCATCACTACATGGATGATATTAGATGTCTAACAAAAAAGAAAAGGAGTTTGATAAAAACTTTCTACTTAAAATCTAAAATTGTTAACTTTCCATGTGAAGTTGTTTGAGTTTTGTCTCCCTTTCATTACTGTTTTATCTCTTAATATCCTTTTAGCCAAATTAGTTTAAGCATATCTGGTGCTTTTGCTGTATGGTAGGTAATACAGACCTTTTTTATTTCCAACTTTCAAAAAAAAAAAAAACAAAATGATTGTACTTAGACAATACAGTTTAGCTAGATGTTCCTTCTGATAATTAAAATTTTTGACTCTGCTGCTTCCATCACTTGGGAAGCTCAGCACACACTGACAACAGCCCAGGGTGGAGGGACGCATGGCTTCTCTCTGTTCAACAGATGAGGGGAAATAGTCATTTTGGGGGTGAGGAAACAGAGAAACAAGCAAATTTCATGATAAGCTCCTTTTCAAAACTTGAGGAGGGACCACAAGGTAGGTGGTTGTGTGAAGCAGTGCCATGGGGCAGGCTGTACCCAACCTGGATGCCCCTATTTGCATCTTCCTTCAGCAACTTGATGCCGAGGCACCGGACAATGTGAATCTGGAAATCGATCCTCTTGCCCAGCAACTCCAAGGGGTCAATCACCACGTCCTCCTCACCCTGTGCTCTGCAAACAAGAGGCAGGTTAGCTTGTGTTAGCAAGTGAGGATTGTGATCAAAGGAAATGAAGACCCCTTAAGAGATAGCTAATCCACTGAAGGCAGGATAGGTTATGTTGCCAGTTGCAGAATTCATTCACTCAAGAGACACTTAATGAGAGCTCACTCTATGCAGGCACTTCAAGGTGAGATACAAACCTTCTCAAAGAACTCACAGCCAAGAGGAGACAGGAAAATAAACAGCTTCTTGGAATAAATGCGCCCAGATGTGGGTGCTAAACTAACTAGCGTTGCAGATTAGTAGGTGCCCAGTAGGACAGATGGGCTACCACCTGGGGAAAGCGATACCATCTCTCAGGGTGTCATTTGCTTCATGAATTCTTCACAGTTCAGAGTTGACCTCAGGCCTACAAACTCAGAAACCGATTTGGACACCTCTTCAAGAAGAGATCTCTCTCACATCACCCAAAACTAGAATGCCCATTTACTGATTTGCAATGGAAACTATAACCGCTGGGCAGCCTAGGAGGCCTGAGTTAGCCAAAAGAGGCTGCTTAGTGAGCTTGGAGTCCCGGTAAAGACAGTGAGTGGTTGATCAGCTTGGTCTCTCAAGGTTCTCTTTCTTCCTCTTCAGGAAGACAAAAAGGTTGCATTGAATGCCTATGAGGGCCCTGACACCCAGACCAGGCCCACTGCCAACCTCTTTGCTTAGACTTGTTTGAGACTAACTTTTCTGAAAACTGTCCATGGCCTAAAGCAAGAAGAGATGAGCTATCCTGAGAGGAGGGTAAAAGGTAAAATGGAGCAGAGTTTAAGAAAGGAGGTGATAGATTAAAACAAAGCCTGTACCCGCAGAAAGGAAGATAACAGCACGGAATGATAGATTAAAACAAAGCCTGTACTCATAGAAAAGAAGGTAACAGCACAGAATGAGGCCAGATAAAGAAACAAAGACATCTCAGTCCCTACCTTGAGGGACAGGGAAGAAAGTGGTCACAGCCTACACCAGGGGTGGAGAGGGGTGAGCTGGAATAATCAGCTCCCTGCTCTGGCTCTTGGGCCTCGTCAGCAAGGATGGGCCTGTCCTCCACCAACGTGGGAAAGAGCAGCTTTATGCTGCAGACGCCAGGCCTTGCAGGCACCAGGTGAAGCCACCACACCCTTCACCTCTGTGTTCCGTAGGCTCATTGTGTGGAACCAACCCAGGTCTGTTGGTACTGGTCAGGGTTCCTTCTCCTTCTCTATCCTGCCTCTTTGTGGGATGCCCTCCTTGTTCCCTTGGTCTCCCAGGGTGGTGCGAAGCTGTCTCAGGTACTGCCTGGCGTGGAATTTAAAATATTCCAGGTCAGCTGATTGAGCAAAAATGAGATTTAATGAGGGCAAATCATGAATGAATGAATGAGCTCGTTCATTTGTGTCATAAATGAGCAATTCAGAGACCACGTTGACCACCCCCTCCAGGAGACCTCAGGCTTGCTAAGATTTTCCATGTGAGTGACTCAGAACCCATTTGGACTAGGAACAGGGAGAAGGGAGACACCCACTGTCCAGTCGCCGAGCAGGGAGTTATGTGGATATGCAACATGGCCTCCTCCAGCCTGTCACAGTTCAGAAACTCCACTTGCTTCTCGAACTTCATGCAGTAGGCAAGCGACTGGAGCCAGATGTGAGCTGAGCCCAGGTGCACAACCTCAACAGGATCCCAGAAAGGATTGACTTCTTGAGCCACGTGGCTGTCTCCTCCATCTAGAAAGCGCTGGTAGCGTTCCTCCATCAGGAATTTCCTACTGATAAACTTGGCCTTTGACCATATCCAAACCTGGAAACACAAAGGTAGGTCACCAATATTTGATTTTATCTGCAATTCATTTCTATGATTTTTCCCAGCATGCTCCCTCTGATGGGCTGGGTAATCACAAGAGTTCTTAAATGTAGAAGAGGGAAGCAGACGAGAGGGTAAGAGAGAGATGTGTGACTGAATTAGAGTCAGAGGGATGGAACATTGCTGGTTTGAAGTTGGAGGAAGGGACCACGAGTCAAGGATTGTGGGCAGCGAGAGGCTAGAAAAAGCAAGGAAACATTTTCTCCCCTAGAGCCTCCAGAAAGTAATGCTGCCCTGAGGACACCTTGATTTTAGCCCAGTGAGACCTGTGTCATACTTCTCATCTACAGAATTGTAAGATAATAAATTTGTGTTGTTTTAAGCTACTAAATTTGTGGTAATTTGTTACAACAGCACTAGAAAATGAATATAGGGGTATTTAGCCTGCAGAAAAACAAGTTTAGAAGTGGCTTCCCAGTGATTATCAAATTGCAAAACAAGAGCACACCCATGGGCTCAGGTGACACCCATCACACGCCTAAGAGGCAAACAAGACAGGTATTGTTATCTCCTCTTTGTGGTAACCCAAAGAAGCTCCGCTCCTCATTCAGGGATTCTCAGCCAGTGAGCAGCAAGCCCAGGACAAGAACCTGCTGCTCTTCACATGTGAGGGAACTGGCTACTGAGGAGGAGAAAGAACCTAAGTTGTAGTATGAGGGATTTGAGTTAGATAGAAGATGTCTTGACCCTAAATGTCACATCAGAAGTGCTTACCAGGTAAAACTAGCAGCTCTTTCTCTGGACAACTTAAAAAACAAGAGAAGTCATTCTCTAAGATTTGTGTCTTCATAACAAGGTCTTCTTCAACACACTAAAAACACACCTCATCCTTTTTCTGTTTGCCTTGAGGAAAGACCACAGTCCTCACCTCTCAGAGCCATCGGAAAGATTAAAGAACATGGTGGTGGCACATATGATGGGTAGCCGTGTACAACAGGAACCAGTGGCGTTACTAGGGGGAGTGGGGGCTGTGGACTGCACCAGGTGACACTGTCAGGAGGGGTGACACCAAAATGACTGTCTAAAATTTTTGTGCAGTGTTTCAGTAGAAATTTATTATTTTTTATAAAAATATCCCTGTACTTTGTTATAACAACAGAAACATTTTTCATAAGCCCAGCTAACCAAAAACCAAACCGAACTCAATTGCCATCAAGTTGATTCCAACTCATAGTGATCCTATAGGACAAAACAGAACTGCCCTGTAGGGTTTCCAAGGAGCAGCTAGTGGATTTGAACTGCCGATCTTTTGGGTAGCAGCCATAGCTCTTAACCACTGCTCTACAAGGGCCCCATCAATATAGCTACAAGGCTAAATTCTATGCTAATTTTCTTTTTGAAGCGTTTGGCTTCAAATCCACTACCTCCTCCTTGGAAACTGAATGGGGCAGTTCTCTTCTGTCCTGTAGGGTCTCTATGAGTCAGAATCGATTCCACGGCAACGGGTTTGTTTTGGTTTTTTAATGTGCTCCAGTCGGAGCTGTCATTATTACCTAATCACAATGATGCTTTGAATCCCGTGGTTTCATCTGCACGCACTATAAGCATGGCTGTTGTTTTTGTTGCTGCCGGTGTTTTTATAGTTGCTGATTTTGTCAAATTTTCTGGTGTTTTAACTACAGTATTGTGGTAATTAGTATTTTCCAACCTATATCAATAACTTTTTTGAGACTGAAGTAATTAAAAGAAAAGAAGGACTGATATACGGGAATTACGATTTACGAGTAACGTTAGTACAAAAAACGTTACTAAGGATTCTGTATGGTCTGGTATGGGAGGAGGTACATGGAGGGAGGTGACACCATGAGTTACTGCACTGGGTGACACCAACCCTAGTGATGCCACTGACAGGAATTGTAACCCTTTGGGGTGTTTTTAAAGACTTTTAGGCTAGGGAACTAATTTCTTTAAGATAATAAAACCAGTTTATTACTTCGTTACGTGTGGGTATGAAACCGCAGACCCTGTGACAGGTAAAATTGGATGACATCCTGAGTTCCCTGGATGAAACACAGGTCAGCGAGGCTCTGGGGGACAGGCTGGGGTACTGTGCTGTTCCCCTACTCCATCTCCCTCTTCCTCCCTCTTCACCCACCCTTCCCTTTCCTCTCTCTCCTCCTCTGTCCCCCATTCCCCTCCCCTCCAGCTGACCCTGCAGGCCTGGCTCTGAGACATTCTAGCTGATGTGCTTTTCACCTGAACCAACACCTGTTGGGCAGGTGCAGATTAAAAATAGCTGCCGGCTGGCAGCATTTCCAGCTTAGAACACCCTCCCTAGTCCTCAGGCGGCCCTGGCTTGCTCCTGAACTTGCCCTTGAAGTGTGACTCTGATAGTCACACACAGCTGCACGTGGAAGCTGCCTCCTACCCAAGAGCTGCAGCAGCGTCATTATCGGCCCGCCTGCACGATCTGGGGGTGAACGTTTACAAGATCAGCCACCTAAAGGTGTGATACGTGTCTGCAGGCCCACTGTTCTTTGTTAGCCTTTTCTTTTACTGTTGTTGATTTTGTTGTTGTTGTTGATTTGTGACTTAGGAGACCCCATGTGTTACAGAGTAGAACTGCTCCATAGGGTTTTCTTGTTACAGAAGAAAATCACCGGGCTTTTTTCTTCTGTAATGCTGCTTGGTGGGTTTGAACCACCAACCTTTTGGTTACCAGCCAAGTGCAAACCATTTGCACCATCTAGGGCGCTTTAGCCTTTTCTTTTAGTCTTCAAACTCACACACACACAAAGTGCTCTAAAAACTACCAGAAATTACTACCAGCATTTCAGAGGCTTCCTGAGGAAGGTGGGACTTCACCTGAGGAAAGGTCACTGGTACTAATCTTATTTTTTAAAGGTAAAAATGGAGAATCTTGAAGCTGGCAGATACGTGAAATTAGGCTCTGCCTGAAGGAAAAAAAAGAAAAAGAAACAAACACAGAAAAACCAGCATAAAATTAATTAGTGCACCTGTAACGCCTAACCCGTTGAGTCGATTCTGACTCATAGCAACACTATAAAGACAGAGTAGAACTGCCTCACAGGGTTTCCAAGAAGTGGCTGGTGGATTCGAACTGTAAACCTTTTGGTTAGCAGCTAATCTCTTAACCACTGTGCCACCTGGGCTCCAATTAGTGCACAGACCCCTTAAAAAGAGATTGCAGTGTGGTTTATGCAGAAGCAGTCCTGTCAAACATGCTGGGACAGTGCTGCTAGACTGAAGATCAAGAGCAATATCAACATACTCAGTCTGTTGGCTCTGCACACAACATGCTTAACAATAACATGCTGAAACACTATTTGGAGTTCTATTTTTGGCCGTGGCAGGCTGGGTACTCAGGTAGCCAGCCAAAAACAACAAAAAATGCTGAATTAAATATTTTTTTAAATCACCTTAAAAAAGTAACAATAATAAAAAGCAGAATAACATGGAAAAAATTTTTAAAAATTTAAAAATCTCCTTCAAAACAAGGCCTGAAAAGACAATGAGGGACTGCCAAACCAAATTCCAGAAGAAAGCCTGAACCCAGGGAGGCCGTGGAGAATTGGACCACCAACGTTGCTTCTGCCCTGAGGGAATAACACATAACGTAATGTGCAGACGGAACATTGATGGCTCAGCTCTGAAGGCCTCACGGGCCATGGCATAGAAGTCCAGGCCTGACCTTCCCAAAGTGGGAGTCTTCCCAGAGACCCTCCCGCCACATCATACTGAGACCCCTGAGAGTGACACAGTCAGTATAAGGTGAGCCAGCATCAAACATGCACCCTTCCCTCCAACTCCAGGTGATGCAGAGGAAGCCGCCTTGGCACTGGGCAGAGGAAGAGAGGAAAAAAGGAAAGGAAAAGGCCACTGAGAAGTTTGCCAGTTCAACTCAAGCCATGAAATTGGTGGCCCCCAGCACCTGGCAGACACAGATGTAAACCCTCTTGAACTGGGAGGCAGGTTCATGATGGGTTCAGGTTTACAATATAACTTGAACATACATGGTTTGGTTGGTAGCAGCTTTACTGAGATATAATTCAAATGCCATGTAACTGACCTGTTTAAAGTGTATAATCCTTTTAGTAGATTCACAGAGTTGTGCAACTGTCACTCAAATCAATTTTAGAAAATTTTCACCATCCCCAAAAGAAACCCTTTATACTTTAGCTATCGTCCTCAAGCTCCCACCCCTGCAGCCCTAGGCAACAGAACGTATATGTTTCATAGTCTTTTTCTCTGTGTTATATTTCACAATTTTAAAAAGTTTTTTAAAAATTGTTGTTGTCCCAGAACATTTTGGAAACTTTAGGACAATGGGCAGAAAAGTTAAACCCAGAGACGCCACAGTTGGTTACTCAGTAGATCATGCCTGTGAGCTCCGGCTCCCCTGCTGAGGAGGGGCTGTGTGCACGATGAGTGTGTGAACATTCTACGTGAAGTTCACCTGAGAACAAGAGGCACATCCTCTGAAGGCAGACTAAGGACTGAGCGCTCAGCTGGAGGTGGAATCTGAGGGCACCTCCAAAGGCATAACACCTATCAGAGACCCTAAAGGGTAGGCCAGCTCTTCCTAGTTCCTCCTGTGAAAGCAGTAGGGGAGGAAACAGGGTCTTATGTTCCTAAAAAGGAACTTCCTGGCAGTAAGCAACATCAAACCCGGAAATGGATCAGCCAAAATGACCTTTTTTGGAGTCTTAATAAGAGTGTGAAGTGTGACCTGGAGCAAAGGAGAATGAAGAACGCCAAAACACAAGGAAAATATTAGCCCAAGAGACATAAGGGGCCACATAAACTGAGACTCCATCAGCCTGAGACCAGAAGAACTAGATGGTGCCCAGCTACCACCAATGACCGCCCTGACAGGGAACACAACAGAGAGTCCTGGATGCAGCAGGAGAAAGGTGGGGTGCAGAACTCAAATTCTAGTAAAAAGACCAGACTTAATGGTCTGACTGAGACTGGAGGAACCCCAGAAGATATGGCCTCCAGACTCTCTGTTAATCCAGAACTAAAACCATTCCTGAAGCCAACTCTTCAGACAAAGAATAGACTGGACTATGAGACATAAAATGATACTCATGAAAAGTGTGCTTCTTAGTTCAAGTAGATACATGAGACTAAATGGGCAGCTCCTGTCCTGAGAAGAAAGAGATAGGAGCTTGTTGAATGGGCACAGGAATCCAGGGCTGTAAGGAGGAATGTACGGTCACATTATAGGAATAGCAGCTAGGGTCACATTACAATGTATGTATAAATTTTTGTATGAGAAACTAACTTGAGCTGTAAACTTTCACCTAAAGCACAATTTAAAAAAAAAAAAAGAGCATGGAGTGTGGGTTTTCTCATTGCTCCAGAATGGCCTCTCTCTCTGTCTCTCACTTGCATGTATGCACACACACACTCACACACACCCCATTACCACTTAAATAAACTTTAAGGCTCCCTTCTGGTAGTCCAAATTGTTAATGCACTTGGCTGCTAACCGAGAGGTTAGAGGTTCAAATACACCCAGAAACACTTTGTAATAAGGGCCTGGCTATCTACTTCTGAAAAATCAGCCATGGAAAACTCTATGGAGTGCAATTCTACTCCGACACACATGGAGTTGCCATGAGTCAGAATCGACTCAGTGGCAACTGGTTTTCTGGCAGTGAACAGAAAATGCTCGATACTGGTGGTTAGGACAGATCCTAGGAGAGGAACATGGAGGAGGGTACTCTTCTCCCTAGATCCTGTCCCCCAGACCCCAGCTCACACTTGGAACACTTTCTGCCCCTTCACTGGGTCTCCACAGGCCGTAGCTCCCTAGGAAAGTGCCTCAGGAAGCCCCCATGGCAGCTCACTCTGCCCACAGACACAGCCTCACCTCATGAGTCCTCTGGCTGGTCACCTTCACCATTGACCTCCTTCTGTAGGTCATAGTCCCTGGAATCTGACGACGCCAAATTCTTCACTTTCAACTCCATTTTAAGTCCCTGGTAAAGGAAACATTTCTCACTAAAAAAATCCTACATTTATCAGGTCATACCATCTTTGCAATTTCCTTTTCATTTTCACCCACACTCAGCAATGACTCAGACTTTCCAAAAGAAGATAGTCCCACTCTTGCTCCTTGGAATTCCCACCAAGAGAAATGATAGAACACGAAAATTTCTCAACAATATCCTGGAACTAACACTTGCAATGCTTACCAAAGTGATTATGCCTCTTAAAAGTTTCTGGCTGATTCTTACTCTGTGTCACCAGGGAGCTAACCCCAGCCCAGGTCCTGGCATAGGAGCCATCGAGGTGCCTGGACCCAGACAGGCAGTTTTGAAGAACAATCTAGAATGGGGTAGCTATGGCGAGCAAGTGTTGGTCCTAGTAGACCAAGGCTGGAAGGAAGGGTGCTTGGGGCTGGAACTGGAAAGGCCTAGGCCCTGTTGTTAGCTCCCTACATGAGCTTGGGCCAATCCCCTCGCCTCTCTGGGCCTCTTTATCTATACCTGAGTCAGTCTGAGGTAGTAGGAGTGATGAGGGTATTGAACCTGTTCTCCAAAGTCCTTTCTGGACCTGACATTATGGAGTTTTCTGGTTCTGGATAAATCACTGCTATGGAGGTTCATTGCAGCACTGTTTTCAGTAGCCAAAAGGTGGAAACAACCTAAATGTCCATCAGCAGATGAACAGATAAACAAAATGTGGTGCATACACGCAATGGGATATTCCTCAGCCATAATGAGAAATGAAGTCCTGATACATGCTACACATGGATGAACTTTGAAAACATTACATTGAGTGAAATCGATCAGTCACAAAAGGACAAATATTGTATGATCCCACTTATATAAAATACGCAAATGTATAGAGATCAAAGTTTATTAATAATTTCCAGTGGTAGGAAGGAGGGGAGAAGGGAGAGTCATCGCTTAGGGGTCACTGAGTTTCTGTTAATGGTGGTGGAATAATTTGGAAACGGCTGACAGTGATAGCTTGTGCAACATGATGCACCTAATATTTGCTACTGAATTGTATGTGTATGAATTGTTGAATTGGCAAAAGTTTTGTTATGTATATTCTTACCACAATAAAACAATTTTTTTAAAGGTAAAAAAATTGTTATGGATTGAACTGTGTCCCCCTAAACTATATCTTGAAATCCTAACCCCTGTACCTGTGAATGTGACCATGTGGAAATAGGGTCTTTGAAGATGTTATCAGTTAGGTTAACATGAGGTCATACTGGAGTAGAGTGGGTCCTAATCCTAAAAGACTGACATCCTTATCAAAAAGGAGAAGATACACAGAGACAGGGAGACAGAGGAAGGAGGCCATGTGAGGCAGAGGAAGGAGGCTACAGCTGCAGGCCATGGAATGCCTGGAGCTACCAAAAGCTAGGAGAGAAGCATGGAACAGATTGTCCCTCACAGCCTCAGAAGGAATCAGCACAGTTGATACCCTGATTTCTGACTCCCAGCCTCCAGAACTGTGAGACAATAAATTTCTGTTCTTTAAAGAGACACACTTCCTGGTATTTTGTTACAGCCACCCTAGGAAACTAAAACAATTACCTTCTTCAGCTCTTCACTCATTTGATTTGCTTCTGCAATGAGGGGCATCAGTTTGATGTAATCCTGGAACACAGCCAGGACACTCGGGTCTGCCTTCCCGTCTCCGCTGTTTGTGGAACCTGTAGAAAGAAATATCAGAATGAAAATGACAGGCGGTCACTTGTTCTGGGATAATTTCCAGCCATGAATAAATGTATATGTTCGTTTGTTCATTCAGCCATCCATTCAATTGTTCATCAAATGTCTACTGAGCAGAAAATTACTATTACGTAATTAAGGAGTCCCAGTAGCCCAACAGTTAAGCACTTGGATCTAACTGAAAGGTTGGTGGTTCTAACCCACCCAACGGCTCCACAGGAGAAAGACCTGGTGATCTGCTCCCATAAAGATTACAGCCTAGAAAATCCTATGTGGCAGTTCTACTCTGTCACATGGGGTCGCTATGAGTCAAAATCAACTCGACGGCACCTAAAAACAATACCAACATAATGTAATTTAAAAAAAAAAAAAAAAAACTTCATAAGTGAAGGAAAAAGACACTCCCTGGTTTTTTAAGTCAGTAGTTGCTCATCTCAACCTGTGGATCTTGGCAAGCAATGTGACAGGAAGGCTCTTGGCCTCCAGTTCTTTTTTTTTTTTTTTTTTTTTATTGTACTTCAGCTGAAGGCTTACAGAACAAATAGTTTCTCATGAAACAGTAGTACACATATTGTTTTATGACATGGGTTAACAACCCCACAACATGTCAAACCTGTAACTTCTCAACCAGTTCTCATTTTTTTAGTTTTTTTTTTTTAAATTGTGATGAAAATATACACAACAAAACACGCCAGTTCAACAATTTCTACATGTATAAGTCAGTGGTATTAATTAGACTCCTCAAGCTGTGCAACCACTCTTGTTGTCCTTTTCCAAATTATTCCATCCCCATTAACATAAACTCAATATCCTCTAAGCAAAAGCTCCCTTTATCCCTCGCTCCCATCCCTGGTAACCACTAATAATCTTTGGTTTCTATATATTTGCTTATATTTCATATAAATGAGATCATACATGACTGACGTACTTCATTCAGCATATTTTCAAGAAGTCCTTGGGTGGCGCAGATGATTAAGCGCTAGACTGCTAACCGAAAGGTTGGCATTTCGAACCACCCAGAGGTGCCTCTGAAGTAAGTCCTGACAATCTGCTTCTGAAAGGTCACAGTCTTAAAAACCCTATGGGGCAGTTTTCCTCTGCACACTTGGCGGTCACCATGAGTTGAAACTGATTTGACAGCAACCAACAACAAAGATGTTTTCAAGGTTCATCTATATTGTAGCATGTAGCAGGACTTCATTTCTCTTTATGGCTAAGTAGTATTCCATTGTGTGTATATACAACATTCTGTTTATCCATTCATCTATTGATAGATGTTTTGGTTTCCATCTTTTGGCTATTGTGAAAAGTGCTGCAATGAACATTGGTGTACAGGTTTCTGTTTGCATTCCTGCTTTCACTTTTTCTGGGTATATACCGAGAATTGGGATTCGTGGGTCATATAGTAGTTCTGTGTTCAACTTTTTGAGTAACCACCAAACTGTATTCTACAGTGGCTGTACCGTTCTACATTCCCACCAGCAATGGATGAGGGTTCTAGTTTCTCGACGACCTCAACAACACCTATTGTTTTCTGTTTTTTTTTTTTTTTTCCTTCTTATCATTGCCATTCTAATGGGGGTAAGGTGGTGTCTTAGGTTGGGTTCTCTAGAGAAGCAAAACCAGTAAAGCATATAAATATCTATATAGAGAGATTTATATAAAGGAAATGGTATACACGGTTGTAGAGGCTGGAACGTCCCAAATCCATGAGTCAGGCTGGAGGCTTCTCCTGATTCATGTAGCCATAGGGGCTGGGGGACCCAAGATTGGCAGGTCAGACAGCAGGGCTCCTGCTCACAGGCTGTGAAGACTGATGAATCCCAAAATCGGCAGGCAAGACCGCAGGTAAGCTGCTAGCTCAAGTCCCAAGAACCAAGTTTTAGACAGAGGAGCCAGCTGCAGGATCCAGAGCGAGCACAAGTCCACGAGCCTTGCCAGAATGTCCACTATATTCGATGCAGGCCATATGCCCAGGGAAACTCCCTTTCAACTGATAGGCTACTCACAACAGATCCCATCATGGAAGTGATCACATTATATCAAATCTCATCATGGAAGTGATCATACCATCATACGACCGCCAAACCACTGAGAATCATGGCCCAGCCAAGTTGACACACAACCCTAATGATCACAGGTAGTATCTCATTGTGGTTTTGATTTGCATCTCCCTAATGGCTCCAAGTTGGCAGTGGTTTGGCCTCTTGTCATGAACTCTCAACTCTTTGGGGATTCCTTACCCCTGGGTTGAGGCCTGACTGCCAGAGCTGCCCATGTAGCTGCCTGGTTGGGGCCCACAGTCTTCACTAGATTCTGAGCACCTTCAGTGCAGAGTCTGGAGCTTGTTCAGCTTCATATGGCACCCATCCCACCAGCCTCGGGCAGGGAAGGCAAGTGTGCAATCAATCCTTGTGAATAAATAAATGAATGGGCGGATTATCCAGGCTGGTACTTTAAAGTCTTGTTTATTTTGGCTAGAACTTCAGCAGAAGATGAGCAAGGAGGTGAATTTCAAATCAATTTATTTTGCAAAAATTCAGAGAAAGCAATTTTGGTGTAGGGAAAAGGTATGAATTATTTTGCATATATGTGGGTTTATCCTACTGCTCATCACCCATGGTTTTATTAAGGTGAGTTCATGCAGAGCTCATGTGCTTGGAGTTTAGATTTCAAGAGCAGTGAGATGTCATGGAATATTTTTCAGCAGGAGAGTGTCATGATCTGATTTAAAATATTTAAAATCTTTTTGTCACTGACAAATGTACTGGGAGGGTCAAAAAGGGAACCATTTAAGCAAGAGATGGCAGCTTGCACTGACATGGTGGCACAGGGGATGGAGAAAAGGCAGATTGAATGATGGAATCAGGAAAAGGATGCATACTAGATTTTTGACTTGAGCAATTTGCCAAGATGGGAAAACGGGACAAAAGCAGACTTAAGAAGCATGGGGGAATCAAGACCTCTTTTGGGGACACTATTAAGGTTGAGATGCCTTTGAGACACACAAGCAGAGATAGGTAGTTGGATAGACGACTCTGGAGCTCAGGGGAGTTGAGAGTTTTCTGGCTGAAATGGCATTTAGAAGCACGGAGACTGGATGAGATTAACCTGGGGAAAAGCATCAAGGTAAAGAAGAGTTCCAGGACCAAGCCCTTGGTAACTCAAAATGTCAGCATTGGTTTGATGAGGAGGACTCAGGAAAGCGAATGTGGAAGAGGTGGCCTGGAGGAAAAACAGGAGGGGATATTGTTCTCAGGTAAAATATTTCAACAAGGAGAGAGTGCTCAACTGCTTCAAATGTTTCCGAGACCTTAGTAAGATGACTACAGACACATGCCTACTAGATTTGGCAACATGTAGGGCACTGATACCCTTGTCAAGTACAACATCAGTGAATGGTTGGAACAAGCCAGATTGGAGTAGGCTAAGAGCCTGGGAGATAAAAAAAATGGGAACAACAGGTTTATTAGTTTTGTTATTAAAAAAAAGAACAAAAAGAAATGTGGCAGTAGCTAGAGGGGGGATGTGGGTCAACATAGGGCTTTGCTTGTTTATTTGTATGGTGGAAGATACTGGAGCATGTTTGCATGTGATGGGAATGATCCACAGAGAGTATGTGATGATGCAGGAAAAGGGGTAGGAGATTCCTCAAGGAGGTGAGAGGGGATGGAATGCAGAGGACAACGAGAGGATTGGCCTTTGATAGGAGTTAAGACACATCTCGTGACTGGTGAGAAGGCAGTGCAGTAGGCTTAAGGATTTTAAGCAGATAAAATAAGCCCATTTTACAGATGAAGAAAAATGGGAAATACATATTACATTAAAATTTTCCCCACCCAAAGACAGTACACAATACTGGGGAAGCCAGCACAACTTGACCATGACGAGGTCATGGAAGTTCCATAGACACATCCAAACTCCCTGAGGGACTGAATTACTGGGCTGAGGGCTGGGGACCATGATCTTGGGGAACATCTAGCTCGACTGGCATAGCATAGTTTATAAAGAAAATGTTCTACATTCTATTTTGGTGAGTAGCATTTGGGGTCTTAAAAGCTTGCAAGTGGCCATCTAACATACTCCACTGGTCTCACCCTGTTTGGAGCAAGAGAGAATGAAGATAACCAAAGACACAAGGGAAAGGTTAGTTCAAAGGACTAATGGACCACAAGAACCACAGCCTCCACCAGACTGAGTCCAACACAACTAGATGGTACCTGGCTATCACCACCGACTGCTCTGACAGGGATTACAATAGAGGGTCCCAGACAGAGCTGGAGAAAAATATAGAACAAAACTCTAACTCAAAAAAAAAAAAAAAAAAGACCAGGCTTACTGGTCTGACAGAGATTGGAGAAACCCCAAGAGTATGGCCCCCAGACTCCGTTTTAATTCAGTACTGAAGTCACTTCTGAAGTTCACCCTTCAGCCAAAGATTAGACAGGTCCACAAAATAAAATGAGACTAAATGGGCACACCAGCCCAGGGGCAAGGATGAAAAAGCAAGAGGGAACAGGAAAGCTGGTAACGGGGAACTCAAGGTCAAGAAGGGGAGAGTGTTAACATGTTGTGGGGGTGGCAACCAATGTCAGAAAACAATATATGTTTTAATTGTTTAATGAGAAACTAATTTGCTCTGTAAAACCTTCATCTAAAACACAATAAAAAAAAAGAGTTGGTAAGCATTTGGAGAAATGAAAATTCTCATACACTGGTAGTGAAAGTGTAAATTGGTACAACCACTCTGGAAAACTAACCAAAAAAAAAAAAAAAGTTTCCCTACCCAGGCCAGGGAAGACTAAGTTGGTATTGAATTAGAATTGGAGATATCAGTATGAACTCATGGTTTCATAGCTATAGACAAAGATATAGATAAAGATATATATCAGTGAGCACACCTAGCACTAGATCTTGATTTATAAATACCATTTTCCATTAAAAGGAATTAGGGATTGTTGGAGAAATGAGAGATTCTAGTGCTAGGAATGGGAAACTACAAAATGAGTCTGGAATTTTCTTATACCAGAAAGTAAGGCAGTGCTCGAAGAATGATGGGACATGTCAAAAAGACACAAAAGCCAGCTTGACGGGGGTCCCACTGGCCAAATCTAGGATAATTTGAGAATCAAAATAAATTATGAAATCAACAGAATGTAACCCACTGAGAAAATAGAACTCATGAGTTTATACTGATATAAATGAGGAAATGAATAGAGGCAAAAATGTCTTCCTTATAGTAGAACATCTACGAATAAATGTAGAAAGAATGATGGAGCTAGAAATTCACCATTTGACAAAAATCACAATGCTGGCAAGAATGTTCAAAGAATGATAAAACTAGTGGATGAAAGTTCTGATGAGGAATTGGATATCTACCAATATCTCCCCATAAAATTTTTATTAATTAAAAGAGAAAATTAGTAACCTGGCAGATACTACCTTGTCAAGTTATCAAACTTAGCCTCATCAATAACTTGGTGATATGAGGCACCGAGAAGGACACAACATCACTTTTGTGGCATTCCTGCCCAAAATGCATAACTTCATAAAAACCCAAATTAAGGAACATTATATAAAACAACGGATGCTTAGTTTTAAAAATGTCGAGGTCATGAAAGGCAAAGACAGACTTGGTAAACTGTTCCAGATTTAAGGAGACCAAAGAGATATGACAACTAAATGCGACACGTGATCTTGGATTGGACCCTAGACAAGGATTTCTAAGGGCATTAGGGAAATAATTAATGAAATATGAGCAGTTTTGTAGGTTAAATAATACTGTTGTATCATGTTAATTTTCTGATTTTGATCATCGTACTGTGGTTATGTAAGAGAATGTACTTTTTCTTAGGAAATATTACACTAAAGTATTTAATGTAACTAAATGTAACTTACTCTCAAATAGTTCAGAAAAAAATATGTATGTACACATATACGCACATGTATGTGTATATATGCTTACATATATTTTATATATGAAATAGAGCAAATGTAGTAAAATGTTAAAATTGGGAAATCCGAGTGAAGTAACTGTCTTGGAGGATTCAAGAAATTATTTCAAAATTAAGAATTACCCATAAAATGTCTTCCCGCCATCGTAAGAGGCTCTAGAGAACTAGAACAGAACAGAACTTACTGGCCAAGATGCAGTGGGAATCATGCCTATGAGGGGCCATGTGATGACCACATGGGGACAGGTTGCAAGTGCAAAAAGAGAGCTACCAAGAAAAGTCATCCAAAACATGGACAGTGGGCAAAAGAATGATGGTCTTTTAGCTGTCATAGCAGAGCGCATAAGGATTCTGTAATTCCCTTGGGGAACGTACCATGGTTGACTTACTCCTCCTTACTACTGAGAAAAAACCAGTTGCCGTCGAGTCGACTCCGACTCATGATAACACCATGTGTGTCAGAGTAGAGCTGTGCTCCACAGGGTTTTCAATGGCTGATTTTTCAGAAGTAGATCATCAGGCCTTTCTTCTGATGCGCCTCTGGGTGAACTCGAACCTTCAACCCTTCAGTTAGCAGCCAATCGTGTTAACTATGTGCACCACCCGGGGACTCCACTTGCTATTGATTAAGGTCCAGACAGAGACATTAGATGTTAATTTGTAGAAGACTGGCAAATTAGAAATGGTTTTTCATCCAGTAGAAGATTATTGCCCCAAAGACCATTTATTAGCTCTGTCTAACTCAGCAACTTAAATCAGCATTCTTTCTTCCATTTGCTTTACATGCTCCTCTGTGCTCCTCTGAACCATCTTTACACTCATTAATGAGGGAACTGGGTTAAACAAATCTTTAGCATGTGCTCACTATGTATTTTTGTGGAAATCATATTTTAATTTCTAAAAATTGTACTTTGACCCAACAAGAGATGATTTTTTTAAGGAAAGCAGAAAAGCACACAGTGAAAGCAATTCCTTTCAGAGAGCCACGTGGAAAATGCCAGAGGGTAGGGCCCCAGGCCACTCACCAAGCTTGTCCACACTCACACCCTCCACAGCTGCTCTTTCCAGCTGGAAAAAGTCATAGTCAAATCTGCTCAAGCGCTCACTGCCTCGCTCAGAAGGAAACCCGATGTAGAGGTAGGCACTGTTGGATCCCAAAATAATGCGGTCCTAGGGAGGAGGGCGGAGGCAATGGTGGTTCTTCAGTGGTAGAATTCTTGCCTTCCATGTGGGAGACCTGGGTTTGATGCCTGGCTAATGGACCTCATGCTCAGCCACCACCTGACTGTCAGTGGAGACTTGTATATTGCTATGATGCTGAGCAGGTTTCAGCAGAGCTTCCAGACTACAGCAGACTAGGAAGAAAGGCCTGGCTATATACTTCTGAAAATCAGCCAGTGAAAACACTATGGATCACAATGGTCCAATCCTGTTGTGCACGGGGTCACCATGAGTTGGGGGCTGGCTCCATGGCAGGTGTGTGTGTGGAGACGGCACACTCGGAGGGAAGATGCAGCCCTCACATTACACCCCCGAGGCTAGAGTTGTGAGGTAAGCCTTGCTCTGGGGAGGAGCCAAAGCCCCAAGCCCAGTCCAGCCTTGTTTAAAGGATGTAAGAAATGTTCTTCCCTCATGAGCCCCCTCTCCCCCCCACCACACACAGGGAAGCGTCCATGTAGGAGTAGGGAGGAGGGACATCTTGCTTTTGTAGGCCAGCTGTCATGTGTTTCTCCATTTAGTTCACACACTGAGCACTGACTATCAGGCAATGGGCATCAGTGGGGACCAAACAGATTCAATCCCTCCCTTCAAGGATTTTATCAATAAACTATGTAATTACAAACTGTTAAGATGCTGTAAGAAGTACAGGTGCTTCTTCACACATGCCACATATAAAAAAATATATATATATACCCGTTGCTGTCACGTCAATTCCGACTCATAGCAACTCTATAGGACAGAGTAGAATTGCTCCATAGGGTTTCCAGGGCTGTAATCTTCATGGAAGCTGACTGCCATATCTTTCTTCTGCAGAGCAGCTGGTAGATTTGAACCACAGACCTTTCAGTTAGCAGCCGAACACTTAACCACTGCACCACCAGGACTCCTTAGGCCAAGTGTACAAGGGGCCTAATTCAGACTGGGGTTTAGAGAAGTCCTCTTCGAAGATGTAATATGTAAATTGAGACTTCAAGAGTGGTAAGTGTTGGTAAAGCAGAGAAGGCTATTCTGAACAGAGCCTGGGATTTTTTTGAGCAACCAGAGGAAGGTCAGTGGGGCGAGGGGAAGGGCATGCATATGGGGCAGGGATGGCAGAGAGTGTTGGAGGAGGTGGTGGGTCACACAGGTGCTGCAGGCCATGGTGGGGGTTTTGTCCTAAGGCAGAGGTCACTGAAGGACCTTTAGAATGAGAGTGACCTAACCCCATTTGCATTTCTAAAAGGCTCTCTTTTGGCTCCATGTGGAGAATGGATTGGAAAGGGCTACAGTGAGGCTGGTTAGGGGCTCCCTGAATTGATGGGGACTTGGAAAGGCTGGTGGAGAGGAGATGAAAGGAGATCAGTGTTTGCAAAGGTAATGCCAGTCCCTCTTAATGAGATTTTTGAAAGAAAATCTAAAGTGTCATACAAGGTCAGAGTTGCTGGCGATCTGGGTCACCTCTCTGTTTTCTAGGCGAGGTCCAGTTAACAGCAGATCGATCCCCTGACTCCCACGATTGTCTGTCTGATGTAAGGAAGAGATCGTGTGGCTACCACAGTGCTGGGGCAGAGACACACGTAGGCTGTGAGCACCTAGCAGCCCTCACTATGGATTTTATGGCCCCTTAGCTGTCTCATGTGGCACACCCACAGGAACCTCCTGTCCTCCCACTCAGATCAGGTTTATGACACCCTGTGTCCCTGAGGGAAAGTTTACCAAATGCTACAGCTTTGTCTTCGTAGTGATTGACACCCCATTAACGACAACCTTGCATTTGCTGTACGGAGTTACTGTCACTTTACCATCCAAATTTGTGAAGGAAGCATGTTTGTCCAAAATTCTAAAAAGACAGAAGAGTTTGTCTAAGTCACCAAGTAAATTATGATTTCAGTGAACTGTTTAGGTTATTCTTTCTTATCTGCACAATTAAGTAAGATCTACAGCTGCTGAAGAATGGCTTGGAGCATTTTCTGGGGTCCTCCCGGTGCAGTGGCTCACAGTGTGTGGATAGAAAAATGAGTGCAGAAGGGACAGAAGGATCCTGTCCTTAAGGAGCACACGGAGTCAGGAGACAATGATGCAACTTATTGATGGAATAAACACCAGCTGAGTGCCTACAGCTGCAAGGTGTCAGGAGACCCAGACAGTCACAGTGCCATGGGATTGGGTGGTGGGGACAATGAAAAGAAAACAATTAAGGAGGTCTGAGAAGAAGATCTTGGGACGCTGGCTTACCACATTACAGATAAGTTTAGGTCTGTTTCTGGGTCTACCTGTATATAAATTCATGTGTTGTAAGATTTGGGGCTGGAAGTCAGAGGTGTCAGATTTGCTACCCCTTGTTTGCCCTGAATAACTAGTTACCTAACTATTTTAGAATTATTTGGCTGTCATGGAATGTTCTGGATGTTGAGACACATGTCTTTCCATATCCCTTGTTTGCATGGGGCCCAGGGTCCTGTGGGAAAGGTTTTAATCTCAGCTCATCATTGACGTTCAGCCATTTACAGACATGTGTGCTGAACTTAGAAGAGTCCCCACAGGAAGTGTGGTCTGGAAAGGGAGGTGAGGGGATGTCTTAGTCATCTAGTGCTGCTGTAACAGAAATGGCTTTAACAACGAGATGGCTTTAACAAAGAGAAGTTTATTCTCTCACAGTCTAGGAGGCTACAAGTCCGAATTTAGGGTGCTGGCTCCAAGGGAAGGCTTTCTCTCTCTCTTGGCTCTGGAGGAAGGTCCTTGTGATGCATCAGTCTTTCCGTGGTCTGGGAGCATCTCAGCACAGGAACCTCAGGTCCAGAGGATGCGCTCTGCTCCTGGCGTTGCTTTCTTGGTGGTATGAGGTTCCCGTGTGTCTCTGCTCGCTTCTCTCTTTTATATCTCAAAAGAGATTGACTTAAGACATTGTCCAATCTTGTAGACCTCATATAACTGCCGCTAATCCATCTCATTAACACCATAGTGATAGGATTTACAACACATAGGGAAATCACATCAGATGACAAAATGGTAGACAATCATACAATACTGGGAATCATGACCTAGCCAAGGTGACAGATATTTTGGGGGGACACAATTCAATCCATGACAGGGGAGTTCCAGGGAACTGTCTGAGGGAACAGACTGGAGGCTGGCAGTGCAAGGTGAGATGGCACAGAGTGAGGCGATGCCAACAGGCACTGTCTCCCTCCGCAACCCCTCCCACAGGGCTGTGTGCTGTGTATTTTGGCTCAGAGAGGCCTGAGATACATGGAGGACAGGCCTCTTCCAGAAAGAGCTGACTGTGCCTTGCTGGCTGGAAGCCTGAGGGCAGTCAGAACACAATGGTCCCTAGAGGAGGAGTGAGAACCTTGGAGCAGCCCCCCACCCCCACCCCCCGCCGTCAGAGCTGGGGAGACAGCTCTGGTTTTATGAAAGCCCCATAGGGTTTCACAAGAACTCCTGTTGGGAAATCCTTAGGGAGTCTCTGGGGGAGGGGAATACCCCCAAAGTCTGGGCTTTCTGTTAATCCAGCCAGAGAGGGCTCCAAACAGAAATCAAGGATGCTTTTGCCTTAGTGATGAGACCATGAAAGATAGGGGCTCCTATCTTGGGCTTGGACTTTAACTCTCTTCATTTACTGGCCAGATGTGCTTGTATCTACTTGTGAGGAATTATCAGAGTCTAACTTTCCCTCTTCTCCCAAGAACCAAGGAAACATAAAGTGACCACAGAAGACTGGATTTCAGTAAGAGGGAAAAAGCGCTTACCAGAAGCTTTGTTAGATAAACATTAGAGTGGGCCACTGAGCAGGCCACCAGAAAGCCTGGTAACTTTCTTACTCTTGGTTGTCCAGATGGATTTGTGGTCTGGCCTGATGTTGACTGGATGACCTTTGAGAAGCTCCTCTGGCCTGAGTGGTCATAATGCTCTAATGTTGGACAAAGATACAGATTCATAGACACTTACCCCAAACCTTGAAGGGTAATAGTATTTGAAGCAGCCTGACCAGCATCACATGAACCTGCAAAGAATTGAAATAATGTATTTTAAAAGTTTTTCAGGATTTGACCTTAATAAGATGCCTGATATTTTGGAAGCAACATTTTCTCTTCAATAGGATCATGTGAAAGAATTTTCCCATTGGAATTTTCAATCATAATGGTACTTGGATGTCACCTTGCTTAATGGATAGTTGTTGCATTTTCTGCCCTTTTGGTGGGGTTCCTAACTTTCTTTAAAGTTCCACCTGCTTCATGTGAATTCTGGAAGAAGAAGCTGTTGAGTCTGGACCTTAGGACACAGCTTCAGGAAAGGTGCTGCTCTTTAAAGCTGTTTCCGTCTAGTGATTGACCCTGTGGAGAGCATCATGGCGGCTCTGGGTGGGCTGGCCCTCTCTGCCAGCAGCCCCTGCTTCCTTCACACAGCAGTTTGTTGTTCTCTGTCCTCGACTCTCACATCTGTTTCACTCGCATAGTGGCTGGGGTGAGGAAAGCCAGCCATTACCACGATACTAAACATGGTATTCCAATGTATTTGGTATTCATTTAGCCCAAGAAGCAATTTCAAAGACTGATCCCTTCTCAGAAACCACAGAAATGTGGTAATAAGGAACATGTTGGTGGGGCAAGAAGCACAGCAGTGTGGGAGTAGATCCCAGGGAGTCAGTACCAGTGTGAATGAAGTATTTGAGCACTCTGGTGAGCTGGGGGTCCTCGTTGACATTGAGGAGGTGAGGGAGGGTCTTCATCATCTGCCACTCCTGGAAGAGAAACAGAGAGGCTGCCGCCACCAGACAGGGCAGCACACTCAAGTGTGTAATGCATCCTTTCTAACCACTTCTCATTCAGCATTGTATGTACCTCTTACCAAGCAAACGGCGTACTAATGCAAACCCGGAAGAGGAACGCTGAAGAGCCAAGGGCACCCTGAGAGGGAAGATGAGAACCTTCTGGCACCCAGCTGTCAGGGGCCTGGAATATCTGGACAGGACTATTCCAAGACACTGCCGGTTTCCAAACCTCTCCTTCCCTTCCCAGCTGTTGTTGCCTTGCCCCCTTCCACCTCCCCAACTGTCTGGATGTCCCAGCCTGATGTCCTACCTGGGTAATCCTTCTCCAGGTCTCCATTAAACTTATCACCCTACATCTCATTCTCCCAAAGTCCTGCTGGCAGCCTAGTTTGATACCCAGATGTTGACAGCAAGAAACAGCATGTGGTATTACCCTCCTCTGGCTTCCTAAATACCCTTCCTTCTTTAATATAAGTATTCATTGCTATTGTGCTTATAGAGGCTCGATAGTCAAACAGACTGGAATAAACTGTGCAGGCAAGAGGAAAAATTTTAAATCTTGAAATGCTTTCTGATAAAGTATAAAGAGAATAAAATCCTTCTAACCATTACTGTCCCCCCAGAACCCACAATCCTATCTGTGTTCCCGTACTCGGAATCCTACTTGGCCTTTACAGCTAGGAGTTGAAGCAACCCCTTACATAGTACATGACTTTAATAAAGCTCTGGCTGCTGGGTGTGCCCCGTGCCACACCCAAGCCCTTAGGCTCTTGGAACCCTAACTTGACCCTGCCCTCTGACCCCAGATCCACCCACACCCACAGCCAGAGGCTCACATCTATTCTAGGCTTCAGGAACCTGCAGAATTTAGACTGACCCTCTCTCACCACTCCTAGGTGTTTAGGGTCTGGATCGCCACTGGGGGATTTTTCCAGAGCCTCGTCGGGTGGGGTGGTGGGGAGGGGAGGCAGAGGGGCATCTCTCTCCCCCATGTGACAAAATTCACATCACAGACCATTTTTGATCTGATACTGGCAGTGAATCTCAGAATAGATACTTTGGTTCAGGGTCACACCATACAGTCCCTGGAAGACAACTCACATTCCTCAAATTCTCCCCAAATTCTTAATTACCAGTGGCCTTGAATGCAATCCCCAGCCTCACTCATCAATGTGCACTTAGGCCTCTCTGCTTCCTTCCATATTGTGCCCTGCTGTTCTCCCCACTAGCTCTGCCACTAATATTATTATAAGTCGTACGTCACATGTCAGTACCAGTAAAACCCAAACCAGTTACCATTGAGCTGACTCTGACTCCTTGTGACACCATGTGTGTCAAAGTAGAACTGTGCTCTATAGGGTTTTCAATGGCTGATTTTTCAGAAGCAGACCACCAGGCCTTTTTTTCCCAGGTACCTCTGGGCAGACTCGAACCTCCAACCTTTTGGTTAGTAGCCAAGTGCATTAACCCAGAGACTGCACCACCAGCGACTCCATGTCACATGTCACATATTACTTAGTCGTTGAAAAAACCCACCAGAATGATCCACTTGACAACAGCTCAGAGAGCAGTGTGTGTCTGGATGTGCCGGAGGCTGCTGTGATGTGGTGGTCAACCTCCACGAGGAGGGAGTGAGGCTCACCTGGGCAATGGCCATGAACTGCTGCCCCCACTCTTCCCGAGCCTGGCCCAGCTGGTGTGCCCAGCTCATCTGGGTAGTGGGAGTCCCACACTGGTTTTCTGCCAGGAAATATGCTGGCTGCTCTGGAGAGAGGGAGGTATTTTAAGCAACATGTCTGCAATGGTAAAGGGGAAGCACAAAATAACTACTGTCTTGAGTCAGTTCTCAGTCAAAACATGGGGCTCTCAGCAGGAGGGGGAAATGAACTACACATATGTGTGACAAAGATATCACTTGCAAGAGAGTAGTATCACCTTCTAATTCATAAGACAGACCACCCGTCTGTCAGTCTGTGGTACTGTGGTGGCTTGCATGTTACTGTGATACTAGAAGCTGCCAGCAGGATTGCAAATACCAGCAGAGTCTCCCATGGTGGATAGGTTTCAGCAGAGCTTCCAGACTAACACAGACTAGAAAGAAAGCCCTGGCAATCTACTTCTGAAAATTAGCCAATGAAAACCTCACGAATCACAGTAGAACATTGCCTGACTCACTTGCTTTGGACCGGAGGAGGACATCATGTTTGGTCCAGTAGAGCCAATGAGGGCAAGGAAGACCCTCAGTGAGATGAACTGGCACAACAGTCACAAAGATGGACTCAAACATTGCTGGCTGATGCAGGACCTGGCAACGTTTTGTTCTGTTGTACATAAGCTCGTCATGAGATGGCGTTGACTCAAAGGCAGCTAGCAACAACAATTTATAAGAAATTAGAACATTAGATCCTTTAAAAGGGGGCCATGAAGCTCAATATTTTGTTTTTTACTCATGTAGGCTATTTATCTCAAAAGAATTTTTTTAAGTACAGGGCTGAAATGTCCTGGGCAAAGCCCTCAGAAGGGCCCCCTGGCCTGCCCTAGGGCTCCCCTCAGATTCTCACCCAGGTTCCCCCCATCCAGGCCCCTTGCTGAGCCAGGGAGGTCACACACGCCCTCCTTCAGCCCCCAGCTCTGGGAATTGGCCAGGTCAGATCCCTTCTTCTTGCTCCTGGCTCAGACTCAGCTTTGACTCCTGACTCAGTTTACCTACCATTCTGGAGTTTCCATAGCCGAGCAGCAGTTTGTTGTTCTCTGTCCTTGACTCTCTCATCAGCTTGCAGGTGTTCACCACTGCTCTGTTCTGGATATTTTTAGCTCTTTCACATACAAAGAGAAGCACTCACTCAGGCCCTGGGCCCCTGGCACTTAGACTAGCGCCATCAGAGCCCACGCCAGAGAGTGCCCTTTCCACCCCCTTGAGTCACCTTGAGGGGACTCAGGATTCCACCTTGTCAGGTTCCACTAAACCATCAAGAGCAAAAGTGAGTTCAATGACTTCCACAGCTCAAATGAACACTTGCGGTTCAGCCAAGACCCAGAGCCTGGCTCATGGTGGGTCCTGGGTCATGAACACGCCCAGCCATATGGGCTGACTTGGCTGTTGCTCCTGCTGCAATAACTCAAATCACGGAGGCTTTCAGTGACTCCTCCACCAGGTACATCAGGCTAGGAGGTATCTTAGAGGTGTTCTAGTTCACTCCCTTCCAGTGCTGCCAGATAAAACATGGCATGCCCCCAAATATTGCATGGGACATACACTAAAAAAATTATTTGCTCTTTATCTGAAATTTCAGATTTAACTGGGTATTCTGTATTTTTATTTGCTAAATCTGGCAAGTTTACTCCCTTCATTTTACACAGGGGAGATTGAGAACAGAGAGTTTATACAGCTTGCCCCAAGTCACAGTCAGTGGCAGACCCGGGATTAGCACCCAGGACTTCGGGGTTCCATTTTCTCTTTCCTTTGCATCACACGGTCTCCAAGTAAAAACTGCTAGCCACAGATTTGCATCTGATAAGCAAGAAGAAAATGAACATTCTAGACACTGCTAGAGACAAAATTCGGCCTAAAGATCTGAGCTTGTGGTACAGATATTGGAAGAGAATGTCTATTGGTGTAAAACTATACTGAGGCAGTGCAGTGGAAAGATGAGAATGAAAGTATTTGTCACTAAAATGTAATGGTCTCCCTCACTCAGAGTGCCAAAGAAAGACCAGAAAGAGGCAAGCACTTGGTTATATAATAACTATCTTTTTTTTTTTTTTAGGAAAAAAATGTTATTTTTAATAATAAAACAGATACTGGCATTTTGACTCAGAATGCAAAATTTGCACTTAAAAGAAAAGATATAATAGGCAATGTCAAAAAAAATTGGTTCATGTTCTTTTTCCTGCTACTCAGGGTACTTGAGTGGGGAAGGTTGAGAAGCACTGGATGAGAGGCACTCTAAGACACCCTCTAGCTCTTTAGAATTATGATTCTTTGATTTTATGATAAAGATCAAGGAGGAGGAGGATTATGCAACATGTGGACTATAAAAGGATTTAGGGGACACTTTCAAGTCTTAGCAGGGTGTTAAAGTGGGTGGGGAGGAAATGGAGCTGGTGGATGCTCAGCTGTGCCCACGTTCTTTCCTGCCCTGGCTTTGAATCCTTCTAAATAACTATCATTTTTGAGCATAAGCTCTATGCTGGGCATGGTTCATACATTATTTCATATGTCTTCACCCCAAGTTTGTGAATGAGGTATCATCCCCTTCAACATATGAGGTAACTTAGGGTCAGAGAAGTTCAACATCTTGCCCAAAGCCACACAGCTGTTAGGGCCAGGGTTCTGTCCAGCCTGTCACATAAGGGTTGGCAAATAAGCTTCATTGCACATGACAGCTCCAACTGGTGGGAGGAGCTGCCTACTGGAACACTGGCTGAGAATTCCCAGTTCCTATCGAACCTAATCTGTCTTGGAAGAAGTACAACCAGGATGCTCTTTAGAAGCAAGGATAGTGAGACTATGTCTTACATACTTCGGACATGCTGTCAGGAGGGATCAGTCCCTGGAGAAGGACATCATGCTTGGTAAAGTACAGGGTCAGCGAAGGAGAGGAAGACCCTCAATAAGATGGACTGAACCAGTGGGTGCAACTATGGGCTTAAGCATAACAACGACTGTGAGCATGGTGCAGAACCGGGCAGCGTTTCCTTCTGTGGTACATAGGGTAGCTATGAGTCAGAACTGAATCGATGGCACCTAACAACAACAACATTGGACCCGAGGAGCCTTGGTGGCATAGTGGTTAAGAGCTCAGCTGCTAACCAAAAAAAGGTTGGCAGCTTGAATCCACCAGCTGCTCCTTGGAAACCCTGTGGGGCAATTCTACTCTGTTCTATAGGGTCGCTATGAGTCGGGATCGACTCTGTGGCAACAGATTTTGTTTGGTTTGGGTTATTAGACCTGAGGTGGGAGCGGCAATGGCGTATTATCCATGTTTGCCCTGGGTGTGGGAAGGAGGAGCGGGAGCCCCGGCAGTACAGTTTCAATCCATGGCTAGGAACTCCCCTCTCCGCACACCCTTCGCCATTCTGAAAAGGTTCAGCAGAGGCAGGCTCAGAATGAGCTCCAGATGCCTGCCTTGAAAAGCATGAACATGGTCCAGTGATAGCCTCCTGCCAGAAGAGACCGGGCCATGAGAGCTTCTCCCTGGCGAAGAGATACCTGTGATCTTCAGGCCTCCTCTGAAGAGTACGGGAAACGAGAGAACCGCCAAAAGGGAATGCTGGTGTCACTGTGTAGTTTCTGGATGGTGGAAACAGTTAAGTGCTCTACTAGTAACCGAAAAGCTGGCAGTTCAAACGCACCCAGAGGTGCCTCAGAAGAAAGGCCTGATGACTTGCCTCCAAAAGGTCACAGCCTTGAAAGCCCTATGGAATACAGTTCTACTCTGCAACGCATGGGATCGTCATGAGTTGGAATCAACTCACCAGCAATGGGTTTGGTTTGGTTGGTATCACTGCGTGCAGGAGCTACAGGGCAGGCAAAGGGTCCAGAATCTAAAGAGGTGCCTCTTACCTAGCTCATCTTCATATGTTAGTCATATGAAATTCCCCTACCTGGCACTGTTCTGTACCTGTGTCCGATGGACTAAGTGAGAACTCTCTGAATGGCCATGCTATTTGGAAGTCAGTGCCTCTCCCATGAATTGGAGCCCACCCTTCTCTCCCACCCTGGTGGCACAGTGCTTAAGAGTTCAGCTGCTAACAAAAAGGTCAGCAGTTTGAATCCACCAGCCACTCTTTGGAAACCCTATGGGGAAGTTCTACTCTGTCCTACATGGTCACTATGAGTTGGAATCGACTCGATGGTAGCTGGTTGGTTTTTTTGTTTGTTTGTTTTCTCTCCCACCAGGACTTCAGTGACAGGGTGACAGGCTCAGGAGGGCTCTGATTCTCCAGCTCTTTCTCCTCTTATTTGTTTTACTTCCTCTCACTCCTTTCTCACAAATCTCCCCTTGGGCCTCTCCCCTCAAACACCAACCCACCAAACATACGAGCACTAGAAGAGTTCGCAGGTTTAGAGCTTAGAACCACTGTAGAAAATAAATGTTCATAAATGTACCTTTCAGCGTATTTCAATGTTGATAAAGTTTCCTCACAGCGGATGTCAGCTGGACTTATGGCTGCTATCTGTAAAGATATCTTTTTCAGATTTTGTTTTTATATAGGGGTTTATTGTTGATGTTATTAAAACAGTTAACATTCACAGAACAGTTTCGCATTTTGTAATTTACAGTATTCTTCAAACTTTACAAATCAGATTGAAAACTGAGACTTAGGGGAAAATAGTATGCCAGAGGTCACACAGGTTGTAACTGGCAGAGCGGGTACTTGAACCCATTCCTGACTAACTCTAAGCCCTGTGCTGCTCCCCTTGATACGACATTGCTCTATCAGTGTCGGGTCCACAACAGATTTACTCAGGGATTTGAATGACAGTTGAATGTTAGCCTTGCAGGGACCAATAAAAGTTGCTCATTTGAAAACGGTTGCACAACTTGAAGAACGTAATCAATGTCCTTGAATTGTAGAAACTGTTGAATTGATATATGTTTTGCTGCATATATTCTCACCAACAACAACAAAATAAAATTTTTAAAAAAATTTCTCATTCCTGGGTAGCCATTTCACTCGTATGATTTCAAGTCTGGCTATTGACTTTGGGTTAATTGTTCTAGAATTCAAATCAGAAAACAAACTTTTGGACGAATTGGAGGCAAGCAGGGTCACCGAGCATGATCAAGGGAGGTAATGTGGCAACTGCCCACATGTCAGCACGTAAGTGCATGGACCTGGAGGCTTGTGTCCAGAGCACAGGAACCTGGTGAGTAATCCTGTGTGTGCGTTTAGCTTTACAGCTTTTATAGCGCGTTCATTTATATCACTTCCTTTGATCATCACAGTGATATCTTCAGATGGATATTGTTGTTGACTCCACTTTAGAAGTGAAAAAAAATGAGGTTTTAAAGTATTTGTACCGAAACCGGGATTGGTGCCATAGAAACTCTAGAACTTGGATATTGACATCGCTGGTTGTCTTTTTCATGTGCCTCCTCCCACCTCTATATTTTTTTCAGAAAACATTGCAATGCCTTCAGTCAGGTCCTTGTCAAGTCTTGCAGGTCAGTGAGTCACCCTGTCTCTCTCAGGTGACTTTTTACACATCTGCTCAGACCTGTTAGATTTCACTTTGTAGTCTAATATTCAGAGGGCATCTTATGTGTCCTCTTTTATTCCAGGTTTTGGGGGATGTCGCATGGAGGTCCCCCAGGTACTGACAACCAGAAGAACTTTTAAAAGAAGTATTTAAAAATAGTTAGGCAAGTTAAGGGTGATGGGAAATTTTGGAAGCGGGTAATGGTAATGATTGAACAACATGATAAACATAACTAATGTCACTGAATTGTACACGTGAACCATATTATCTGATAAGAGTTTAGTAGTCAAAATATATTTTAAAAATTAGTTAGGCAAGATTAAAAGATAAATAATAAGGATGTGTTTTACTGGGAGTTTTGGAGAGAGGTTTCTGTGACAAGTCCCAGCAATGAGCATTTCTCTTCTAAACAGGACAGTTGACTGGAGGCCAGCACGAGGCCAGAAGCACAGTCTGTCTCGCTTTGTCCCTTCCTGCACCCGAAGCTGAAGAGAAGAGAGCCCTGACTGGAACACACTCCACATTGTGCCCCTTTGGCAAACATTCAATAAGAAGAGTCCAGAGTCTTTGCTGAGATGGCACAAATCAGCCACTCCCCTTTGGAACAGCTGCCTTATGTCTAACACAGCCAAAGTGACTTCCAATCTTGCTAGTTTAGAATAATAGAACATTGTTAGTGATATTTTCAAAGTTGTATTAGTTTTTTTTCTCATAATAAAATATGTATGTTCCTTGTAGAGAATCTGAAAATTATAGAAAAGAATAAATAAAAAATTTTAAATTAGCATAGAAACTGCATTTGAGCAGTAGAGTGGGAAAAGCACCAGGAGTCACGAGATAATATGTAAGAACGTGCTATGTAAATGCTATGCAATGTAAATCTTAGTTGTTTATATTGAGAATAAAAGCAACAATAATAGTAATAACAGCCGAATGAGTCTAAAATGTTTTAAGAAAATCATTTACCAAAGTAGTTCTGCTGTTGCCACCCAGAGCTGACTGGAGCAGTTTGGTGAGAACGGAATCTCTGTAGGGGATGTACAAGACTTTCTTCCCCATGGTGGCATCAGCCAGAGCACTAGATGAAAAAGAAAATATCAAACAAAAAATTAAAAGAATATTTCAAAAAGAAGTATCTCTCCCTATAGATAAGTCAGAAACACTTCTCAAATCACCTCTTTGACCATGTAAGCCTGAGACATGTCTCTAAATAATATCTAACAGTGGAGACACCTTCTGTACAAAGATGCTGAAGAAGGATAGCTTAACAATACAGACTGCTGACTCTCTCATTGAAATAAACCCTGGAGAAACCATAACTGAGAGGGGGAAGCCCAGATCTGAGGCACTAACAAACTAAAAACTGTGAGGAAAAACCTGAAGAGACTTCAGGCTATTGTAAATTTGTGTATAGAGATGGGACTGCAACCTAAAGGTGGGTATGGGAAATGCTTTTAAATCCTTTTCTTGCCTTTCTCCCACCTGCCTAAGAAGATCCCATAAAGTTAGGACAGCCTCAAAGTAAGAATGAATGAGAAGTAAAGGGGGAAGGGGAAAAAGGCAATTCCATTTATGATAAATTATAATCACAAATAGAGAAAAGAAATCTCTAAAATTAACCTAGCAGATTTGGAAAAGAAACAAAGTGATATTCTAGAAATGAAGGAATACAACAATTGAAATTAAAAATACCATGAATGGGCTTGACAGTAAATTTAAACACTGCTTTTGTAGGAATTAGAGAACTAGTTAGATCAGAAGGAAGTATCCAGAGGGCAGTCCAGAGACATGGAGCTAGGAAATAAGAAAAAAAAATGTTAAAAGGCATGGAGGACAGAGTGAGAAGGTCCAACAGAGCTTAATTGAAGTCTCAGAAGGAGAAAAGAGGAAGAAAAAAAAAAAAAAAAAAAAAAGGGCAGAAGCAGTGTGTGAGAGCTAATGGCTGAGAATTTCCCAGAACAGATGAAAACCACTAATCTACAGAATTATGAATGTCAAGCAATTCCAAGCAGGATAAATAAAATTCACACTCAAATATAGCACAGTGAAACTGGAGAAAACCAAAAAGAGAAGAGCTTAAAAACAGCTAGGGAAAAATGACAGATTATTTTCAGAGAATAGAAATTAGATCAACAACAGAAAACAGTGGAATGGTATCCTTAAGGAGCTGAAAGAAAATACCATTCATCTAAAATTCTATACCCAGCAAAAATATCTTTCAAGAATGAGGATGAAATAAAGACATTTCAACCAAATGAAAACTGAGAGTTTGCCATCAGCGAACATCACTGAAGGAAATTCTAAAGAACATCAACAAAATGAGAGTCTTAGATAGCAGCTCTGAGGTACAAGAAAGAATGAGTAGCCAAAAAGGGGGCGGTGCCATAAATATGAATGAACACTGTATAAAAGAGTAATTATAATGTCTTCTGGGTTAAAAAATAGAATTAAAATACATATAACAATACAAAAAAATCCATATAAACAATTACCTATGCAGTCTGGAGATTCTTGTATTGTCCAGGAGGAGGATAAAGTATTCATTATATTTAGACTTCGACCAATTTAACAGATTAAAGAGCCAAAAAACAGAGTTAAGCATATGTTGTATTTTGATGTATGACAAAGGTAGCAGTGAATAAAGAAGAAACATTCAACAAATGGAACTGGAAATATTGGTAATCTATAAGGAAAAAAAAAATGACCCTGGTGGCACAGTGGTTAAAGTGCTTGGCTGCTAACCTAAAGGTTGGTAGTTTGAACCCACCAGCCACTCCACAGGAGAAAGGTGTGGCAGTCTGCTTCCTTAAAGATTTACAGCCTTGGAAACCCTAGGGGACAACTCTACTCTGTCCTATAGGGTCGCTATGAATCAGAACCAACTCGACAGCAGTGGGTTTGGTTTTTGGTTTTTATAAGGAAAAAATAATGAAAAAGGATGCCTACTTACAAAATACACAGAGATCAACTCCAGATGAACAGGAACTTAACTGTAATATAGGTGGATATCTTTCTGATTCTAATTTTCTTAAACAAGACACACACAAGAAAGCAAAACATAAACCGTAACTTCCGTTCATCAATGGACACCTTAAAGAAAGTGAGAAGACAAGCTACTAACTCAGAGAAGATATTTATAAAACATGTAACTAACAGAAGAGTAATATAAAAAATATGTAAAGGATGCCTACAAATCAATAAAAAAAGACAACTCAAGAGAAAAATGGGCAACACATAACAGGCATTTCACAGATGAGGAAAGATTGCTAATAAACATATCAAGAAATGCTCAACCCTGCTAATAGTCAAGGATATCAAGACCATGATAAGATACATTTATATCCATTTAATTGGTAATTATCAGAAAATTTGACAATTTCAAGTGTTAGATAAAATGTGGATCAATAGGATATCTTATATATTGCTGCTGGGAATGTAAGTTGGTACAACCACTTTGAAAAACAATTTGGCATCATCTTTTAAAATGAGGTATTCACACACCTTATGACCCAATAATTTCACTCTTATCTATATACCCAAAAGAAACTTTAATATATTGATACAAATGATTTGTATAAGAATGTTCATAGTAGCACTGCTTATCATAGCAAAAGAAAAACAAAAAGCCTGGAAAAAATCCAAACGCCCATCTACAAGAAAATGAATAAATAAATTGTGGAATACTTCTGCAACAAATTACTACATAGAGATGAAAAAGAACTAACAATTACTATGTGCAATAACACAGACAGATCTCACAGACACAATGTTTATTGAAGAAGAGAAAATAAATAAACTATAGCTACACGTAACATGGTCAGATCTTGTTAATAATGTTAACCTAAGAGCAAGTCCTAGGAATTCTACTCCTGGGTTTATAGCAAAAAGAAATGAATAGTTATTTACCCCAAAGTACATGTACAAGAAAGTTCATAGCAATTTTATTCATAATAGCCCAAACCTGGAAACAACCTAAATGTCCATCAACAGGAGAATGAAGAAATATATTTTGATACAGTCCTACAACGGAATACTACATAGCAATAAAAAGGGACTAATAATTGCTCCATGCAACAACATAGATTAGTCTCATAGACACAATCCTTAGTGAAAGAATCCAAACACAAAAGAGTATATACCGAATAATCCCATTTATATAAATATCAAAATTAGGCAAAACTAGTCTACGGTGACAAAGAGTATTGATTGGGAAAGGATATGAGGGAGATTTCTGAGTGTTGGAAATGTTCTATATCTTGATCAAGGAGGTAATCACATGGCTATATACATATATAAACATTCATTGAGCTGAACATTTAAGATTTGTGTATTTTACTGTATGTAATTTGTACCTTAATAACAAAGTTAAAGAAAAAAAAAGGACAAGTCTCAGAAGACAATATAGCATTTTTCCCTTTTTATGAAGTTTAAAAACAAGTACTACTAAACATTAATATGCACGTGATAAAACAAGAAAGGATGAAAAAAAGAAGGAAGGGAAGGAGGGGGAGAGACAGTGAAAGAGAGGGAGGGAGTGAGGAAGGAAGGAAGGAAAGGCAGAAGGACGGGCAGAAAGGCAGAGACAAAGAGAAAAGAAGGATAAGCATAAAATTCAAGATGGTGCCTCTAAGGGGAGGCTAGGAGAGGAATACCACAGGCAGATGTATGTTATTGGTAATATACTCCTTTTTGGATTGGGGGGTGGTTTCATTTATTAAAAATAATTAGTTTAACATAAAATATATGAGGGTCAGGCATGACTCAATGAACCAAGGATTATGATTAATCTAATTTTCTGTACCTGAGGTCACTTCAATGGCACAAACACCTGCTCACTGATTATTTACCTGATAACATTTCCTAAACTGGTTAAACTTAACACGTGATCCTTCCCGTAGTCTGTCCCCTTCAGATCCTGAAGATTTCTGCCTTTCACTTCCTGCTAAGTCCACCAAATTAATACTGGATTGTTTGGTGAGGTCTCTGTCTAGGAAAATCTGTAGGACAGTACCACAGGTCATGCTATCAGAGTGGTAGCTGGTGGTATATTAAGTCAATCTAGTTCCCCTGTTTAAATGTTTCTTCTAAATGTATTGCAGATTCAAAGAAAGACATATTAACATTTATAAATTAAATTTCCATAGTCTTTACAATGACATTTTGCAGTAATACATTACCAGGTCCAAATGTCTCAATTGTCCCTTCCCAATTCTGCAAAGCTGTTTTCCAATGATATATTAGATATCAATTGTTGTTTCAGTATTTCTGTGGTTAATAAACTTTTAAAATACAAAATACCATGAAATCTGCAAAATAACTATCCAGGATTGTGTGGTCATGTTGCTGAAAGAACATGGATTTTAGAATCCTACAGATCCCCTTGATGACTGCATGACCATGAGCAAATGGCTTAACTTTTCAAAGTTTCAACTTTCTCATTTGTAAAATGGGGTAATAACATTTTATTGGGATGTTATGAAGGTTAACGATAATAGACATAATGTATCTAATACAACGTGTGGCATATAATAAAACCCGTTGCTTCAGGTCAATTCCGACTCATAGTGACCCCATAGGACAGAGAAGAAGGATTATGCCCTCTGAGGTTTCCAAAAAGTGGCTGCTGGATTTGAACTGCTGACCTTTTGGTTAGATGCCGAGTTCTTAACCACTGCACCACCAGGGCTCCAGCATACAATAACAGGTGCTAATATTACCATTATTATTACTGAAACCAATAAACAGAGCATGGTGCTAAATCTCTCCACCCATTATTTTCAGCTGATTTGTTTAAAAATCAAGTTTAAAAATATCAGGGAAAACCATATAGAAAGCTTATAAATTTTACTAACATTGTAAAAACAACTGAATAGTACTTTACAAGTTTACAAAGTTTTTTAGAATATATTGTCAGATTTAAGCCTTCCAACGTTCCTGCTGTAAAGACCTCTTTAAAGTGTTAAAAGCAAAGATGTCACTTTGAGGACTAAGGTGCACCTGACCCAAGCCTTGGTACTTTCAATCATCTTAAATGCATGTGAAAGCTGGACAATGAATAAGCAAGACCGAAGACGAATTGACGCATTTGAATTATGGTGTTGGTGAAGAATATTGAATATACCATGGACTTCCAGAAGAATGAACAGATCTGTCTTGGAAGAAGTACAGCCAGAATACTCCTTAGAAGCAAAGATGGTGAGACTTCGTCTCAAGTACTTTGGACATGTTATCAGCAGGGACCAGTCCCTGGAGAAGGACATCATGCTTGGTAAAGTAGAAAGTCAGCAAAAAAGAGGAAGACCCTCAACGCGATGGATTGACACAGTGGCTGCAACAATGGGCTCAAACACAGCAACGATTGTGAAGATGATGCAGGACCAGGCAGTGTTTTGTTCTGTTGTACACAGGATCACTATGAGTCGGAACAAATTGGACAACACCTAACAACAACAACAACATTCCTGTGAGGAAAGCTATTTGTCTCATTTTACAGAAAGGAAACTGAGACTCAGAGAGATTAAGTTATTTCCCAAAGTTTCAGAGCTGGAAATCTGAGAAGTCAGACTTATCCACAGTTTTCTGCCTCCATGTGCAGTGTTTTCCCACTATTCCTGGTTATACAATCTTCATATATTATTCTCTATGTATGGTTAAGGGCTCAGGCTGCTAATCAAAATGTCGGCAGTTCAAATTCACCAGGTTCTCCTTGGAAACCCTATGGGGCAGCTCTACTCTGTCCTATAGGGTCACTGTGAGTCGGAATCAACTCGATGGCAAGGGGTTTGGTTTTTTTGGTTTGGTTTGTGTATTACTAGTGCTCCACCACCTGTATGTCAGTTTGTCATACTGTAGTGGCTTGAGTGTTGCTGTAATGCTGGAAACTATACCACTGGTATTTCAAATACCAGCAGAGTCACCCACGGGGACAGGTTTCAGCAGGGCTTCCAGACTAAGACCAGGAAGAAAGGCCTAGTAATCTACTTCCAAAAATTAGCCAGTGAAAACCCTATAGATCACAAAAGAATATTGCCTGAAACGATGCTGAAAGATGAGCCTCATAAGTTGGAAGTCACTCAAAGTACACAGTAGCCGCAACAATAGACTTGAGCATACCGATGATCGTGAAGATGGTGCAGGACCAGGCAACGTTTTATTCTGTTCTACGTGGGTTGCCATGAGTCAGAGCTGACTCAAAGGCAGCTAACAACAACAACATTACTAGTGCTATGGCCTGGGGGACAGGGTGGTAAAATCATAGCTAACTGTAGAATCTGCCCAGGTGTTGTGAATAACCATTTCTAAATCATACTGGTGTTATCGTAGAGATCACTCTCTGATATCCATTAAGAAGTATAGAGGAGAAGAGTGTGTTCTAGTTTATCAGATATTCTAGTTAGTGGAGAGTTACACAGACTACCTGATTTCAAAGAATTTACCTTGGTATCCAAATATCCTAAGTGTACTTCAGTATCTGGTGGTCCCCTAGGCTCACAGATCTGAGAGCTGGTCATCATTATTCACGTGATGCACACAAGGGCTACTCATAGAATTCTCCATGATAAAGCAGAGTCACTTTCATATCTTCATAATTTGCTCCTTGATCAACTTGGGGTCAAAATTCATTCCTCAGAGTATGGAATTTGCTTGAGGGAAAGCAGCCTTTAGTGCTGTGGGCACCTCTAAGATGTGGTAGATCTTACTAGCACTCCACCCTCAGTAGTGGGCTCACGTAGGCCAGGTGAGGACATGGACATTGGGTCAGGGGAAGTGAGACAAGAGCAGTGCCTCACTTTTCTATTTCTGACTCTCTATTCTCTGTTTGTGTCTAAAGTAGACACTTCAACCCATAGGTCAAATCTAAAAGGACTCTATAATACTCACCAGCCCACTATGCCACTGGGAACCCTCCCCATGGACCAGTCTTGGTGGAAGATGGGGACAACGGCCTTCACCTGAATCTCACCTGCTTGAACTGAATGGTGATGACCATATGGGATCGGCTGCTGCTGGCATTCATGTTGGTTGAAGCTGTTGTCCTTATTTTTGTTCCTTGCTCCATCAGCCTTTCAATTTGTGCATAGCTCTCGCAAGGCACTGATTTCAGACCATCCACATAAAAGCCCAGCTGTTCATCTTCCGTTACTTTTTAGCCCACCAGGTTTCTTGGTTCTAGACAGCAAATCTCTTACCTGTGGAAAAAATAATAAATAATGTAAACTGAAAGAAGGCGGGGATGTCTGTTTCCTTCACTGCTACGTCCCTGCCTAGAATGTATTAGGTGCTCAATAAATATTTACTGAATGAATGCATAAATGAATAAATGTTAAATTTCTGTAGGTACAAGACTACCTCATAATTTAGCCAAATAAGGAAAAAGGAAATAGCAAGCAAGATACAGGGCAATCTGTCATAATTAGTAAAGTTAGAAGGATTTTTTTTTTTAAGAAATGCAGTTTTAATATTTTCAAGTACCTCAAGCACTCCAATCAGAGGGTGAACTCATATAGGGTCAGGCCATGTCTTTTTGCTAGTAGAGCCTAACACAGTTCCTGACATATAGTAGGCACTCAATAAATGTTGTTGAGTGAGCACTGTAACTTGAGCTAGGCTACTACACTGCATATTCTTAATTTGCTGATGAAGCACAACTCAAAATGAGAACAGCTGCAAACATCATTAATAATTGGAATGTGGAATTATGAAATATAAATCTAGGAAAATTGGAAGTTGTCAAAAATGAAATGGAACACTTGAAGATCAATATCCTAGGCATTAGTGAGCTGAAATGGACTGGTACTGACCATTTTGATTCAGACAATCATATGGTCTACTATGCCAGGAATGACAAATTAAAGAGGAGCAACGTCACGTTCATGGTCAAAAAGAACATTTCAAGATCTATCCTGAAGTACAACGCTGTCAGTGATAGGATAATATCCATACGCCTACAAGGAAGACCAGTTAATATAAGTATTATTCAAATTTACACACCAACCACTAATGCTAAATGTAAAGAAATTGAAGATTTTTTACCAACTTTTGCAGTCTGAAATTGATCAAACATGCAATCAAGATGCATTGACAATTACTGGTGATTGGAAAGGAAAAGTTGGAAACGCAGAAGAATCAACAGTTGGAAAATATGGCCTTGATGATAGAAATGACACCAGAGACCACATGATAGAATTTTGCAAGACGTTTTCACTGGAAATATCTTTTTTCAACAACATAAATGGCGACTATACACGTGGAGCTCCATCAGCTGAAATACACAGGAATTAGATCAACTACGTCTGTGGAAAGAGACGATGGAGAAGCTCAATGTTATTACTGAACAAGGCCGGGGTCGACTGAGGAACAGACCATCAACTGCTCATATGCAAGTTCAAGTAGAAGCTGAAGACAATTAAAACAAGTCCATGAGAGCCAAAATACAACCTTGAGTATATCCCACCTGAATTTAGAAACCACCTGAAGAATAGATTTGATGCATTGAACACTAATGACTGAAGACCAGATGAGTTGTGGGATGACATCAAGGACATCATACATGAAGAATGCAAAAGGTCATTAAAAAGACAAGAAATAAAGAAACGACCAGAATGGATATCAAAAGACTCTGAAAATTGCTCTTGAACGTAGAGTAGCTAAAGCAAATGGAAGAAATGAAATAAAAGAGCTGAACAGAAGACTTCAAAGGGCAGCTCAAGAAGACAAAGTAAAGATTATAATGAAATGTGCAAGACCTAGAGTTAGGAAACCAAAAGGGAAAAACATGCTCAGCATTTCTAAAGCTGAAAGAACTGAAGAAAAAATGCAATCCTCGAGATGCAATATTGAAATATTCTATGGGCAACGTACTGAACGACGCAGGAAGCATCAAAGGAAGATAGAAGGAATACACAGAGTCACTGTACCAAAAAGAATTGGTCGTGTTTAATCATTTCAAGAGGTAGCATGTAATCAAGAACCAATAGGGTATTGAAGGAAGAAGTCCAAACTGCACTGAAGTCATTGGCAAAAAACAAAGCTCTAAGAACTGACAGAATACCAACTGAGATGTTTCAACAAATTGACGCAATGGTGGAAGTGCTCACTAGACTATGCCAAGACACTTGGAAGTCAGCTACCTGGCCAACCAACTAGAAGAGATCCATATGCATGCCCATTCCAAAGAAAGATGATCCAATAGAATGCAAAAATTATGGAACTGTATCATTAATATCACATGCAAGTAAAATTTTCCTAAGATAATTCAAAAATAGTTGTAGCAGTACATCAACAAAGACCTTCCAGAAATTCAAGGTAGATTCAGAAGAGGATGTGGAATGAAGGATATCACTGCTGATGTCACATACATCTTGGCTGGAAGTAGAGAATACCAGAAAGATATTTACCTGTGTTTTAGTGACTATGCAAAAAGCATTTGACTGTGTGGATCATAACAAATTACGGATAACATTGGGAAAAATGGGAGTTCTAGAACACTTAATTGTACTCCAGAGTAACCTGGACATAGACCAAGAGGCAGTCATTCGAACAGAACAAGGGGAAACTGGGTGATTTAAAATTAGGAAATGTGTACATCAAGGTTGTATCCTTTCACCATACTTATTCAATCTGTATGCTGAGCAAATAATCCAAGAAGCTGGACTATATGAAGAAGAACTCAGCATCAGGATTGGAGGAAGACTCATCAACAACATGTGTTATGCAGATGATACAACCTTGCTTACTGAAAAGTGGAGAAGACTTGAAGCACTTACTGATGAAGATCAAAGACTACAGCCTTCAGTATGGATTATACCTTAACATAAAGAAAACAAAAATCCTCACAACTGTACCAACAAACAACGTCATGATAAACGGATAAAATATTGACGTTGTCAAGGACTTCATTTTAGTTGGATCCACAATCAATGCCCAGGGAAGCAGCAGTCAAGAAATCAAATGACACATTGCATTGGGGAAATCTGCTGCAAAAGACCTCTTTAAAGTGTTAAAAAGCAAAGATGTCACTCTGAGGACTAAGGTGCACCTGACCCAAGCCACGGTGTTTTCAGTCACCTCATATGCATATGAAAGCTGGATAATGAAGAAGGAAGAGTGAAGAAGAATTAATTTTAATTATGGTGTTGGGTAAGAATATTGAATATACCATGGACTGCCAGGAGAACAAACAAATCTGTCTCAGAAGAAGTACAGCCAGAATGCTCCTTACAGGGAGGTTAGCAAGAAACTTCGTCTCGTGTACTTTGGACATGTTATCAGGAGGGACCTGTCCCTGGAGAACCTCATCATGCTTGGAAAAGTAGAGGGTCAGCGAAAAAGGGGAAGACCCTCAATGAGATGGATAGACACAGGGGCTGCAGTAATGGGCTAAAACGTAACAATAATTGTGAGGATGGTGCAGGACTGGACAGTGTTTCCTCCTGTTGTACATAGTGTTGCTGAGTCAGAACTGACTTGACAGCACCTAACAACAACAACAGCACATTGCATATAGGGTTTGGGGGAACTGCTTTTGTAACATGATAAAATATTTTAGTAGTCATCCACAGTTGTCTGACCATAAATAGGTGCTTCTAAAACTCTAGGCAACCCTTGGGTGGTGCAAACAGTTTAAGTGCTTGGCTACTAACCAAAACGTTGGCAGTTAGAATCCACCCAGAAGTGCCTCAGAAGAAAGGCCTGGTGATCTACTTCTGAAAGATCACAGCCAGTGAAAAACCCTCTGGAGCACATTTCTACTCTGACACACATGGGTCACCATGAGTCAGAGTCCACTCAACGGCAACTGGTTTTTTTCTAAAGCTCTTGTGCTTGAAAACATTGTTCTCTTATTAACATAAATATTCTTCTAGTAATACTGTTAGTCTTTTATTTGATTAGCACCCTCTTTGTGGATAATATAAAAACAAATCATCCTCACCTCTTTCTGAACTATCACAAATTCTGTATTATGAAGTAATTAAGTCTGATTTTACTGAGAACAGAGATAAATGAAAATAAAAATAATTAGAGGTTAACAATATTGAAAGTACCTAATGTAAGCAGAAGACATGTTCTGCCTAGGTTAAATCCTGCTGATGCAAGTAACACCATCTGCTTCCAAGGGAAACATATTCAGTCCAAACAGTATTTGCTACAGCTGAACCAAACAAGACAATACTGGTAATTCTCTGGATCTTACTATTGGAGACTTGACTTGATGTCACACTTAGACCATGGCCTTAGGTGAAAGCTCATGTTGGTTTCCCCCCTAAAAGCCACTGCTGGCAAGGCAAGGTAGATTAATGCAATGGGAGCCCAGCAAAGCCAGAGACCCTGGACATGGTCATCTACATTACATGGTGTAGAGAGTTCTGGTCTGGGAATCAAAAGACCTACATTCTTAGTTCTGGTCCTGCCTTCAAACTGTGAAACCTTGGGAAGTCTCTTACATTCCAGTTTTCTCATGTATAATATGAAGGGGGTGGATTAAGATCTTTTTGGTGGTGCACTAGTTAAACACTCAGCTTGCTAACCAAATGTTCGCACCCACGAGCTGCTCCGAGGGAGAAAGATGTGGCAGTCTGCTTCTATAAGATTACAGCCTTGGAAACCCTGTGGGGCAGTTCTACTCTGTCCTATTGGGTCTCTGTGAGTCAGAATGGACTTGACAGCAACGGGTTTGGTTTTGGACTTGGCAAGATCTCTCTCAGCTCCAGTATTCTGTGACTTTAGTTCCTAGAGTCAAGGCAAGATCGCAGATTGAAGTTTGGGCAAGCAAAATTAGGACAGTGGACATAAGGCACCAGAGACGAGGAGACCTTAAAACGGAGACAACTTCTGCCTTAGCTGGTTGTTGTGAGCTGCCATGGAGTTGGCCCTGACTCATGGTGACCCCACGCACAATGGAATGAAATGCCTGATCCTGCACCATCCCCGTGATTGGCTGCGGCTTGGACCCTTGTGATCCATAGGGTTTTCACTGGCTGATTTTTGGAAGTGGATCGCTAGGCTTTTCTTCCTAGTCCTTCTTATCTGGAAGCTCCTCTGAAACCTGTTCAGCATCATAGCAACACACAAGCCTCCAATGACAGCCTTTTATATAATTTCCTCTGAATCATATAAATTATAGGAACTGACCTCTCAGGCTGCAGATGTGACTGAATAAGGCATATTGGAAAAAAGGTAAGTTTATCTGGATGGATTCAGAGACAACAGCCAGATGCTGACACCAGGACCCTCAGGTTGTACCCGGAGTTCAGAATTGATAATTATCACAAGACCTTCATCACACACCTAGACTATTGTGAGAGCCTCCTAACCCATCTCTCTGCTTCTATTAGGCACTGTTTCCAATCCAGCTTCGCTCTGCTGCTAGAGAAATCTTCCTAAAACCCCAGTCTCATTGTTTTATTTTTCTACTTAACACCCTTCATGGATGCTCCATTGCCTGTTAGAAAAGGCCCTTTACTTTGGCTCTCAGCTTTCTTTTTACTTTCTTTTCCTGATGCTTTGCCCATTCTCACTCCTCGGGTACCCAACTCTGGTTGCACAGGGCACTCGCTGCTCTCTTAAATGCCATGCACTGTCATATCTTCCTGGATTTGTTCATACTCCTCATGATGCCTAAAGTGCCATTCCTATTTGCTCTTCTCCTCACGCCCTACTTCTCTGCCTCACCAAACTCAAGGCCCAGTCTAACTTCTCTGTTGACAAAACACCAAACATCCCAGTCAGTATTAGTTACTCCTTCTTCTATGCCTCTTTCTTTTCACCCTTTATAAAAGAACTGTTGCCACCAAGTTGTCTGTGATTCGTGGCGACCCCATGCACAATGGAACAAAACACTGCCCGGTCTTGCACCATCCCCATGATTGGTTGTGGATCAGACTGTTGTGATCCATAGGGTTTTATTGGCTGATACTCAGAAGCAAATCGGCAGACATTCTCCATAATCCGACTTAGTCTGAACGCTATGCTGAAACCTGTTCCTCATAATAGCAACACACAAGCCTCCGCCGACAGACAGGTGATGGTTATGCATAAGGTGCATTGGCTGGGACTCGAACCTGGGTCTCCCACATGTTCATTTAGTAAAGTTTAAGTTCAGGGCTTTGAGTAGTGCTTGGGGTTACACAAGAACTATGCCCACAAGAAACTTAAAATTATAGACACATTTGTCAATTTATCCATTTAGCAAACATCTAGGGAGCATCTACTGTAGAACAAATATTGTGCTAAGTGCTGCAGATAGAAAGGTGCTTACCGGAACTTACTGTTTTGGAGATATAAATATGGAAATAAAATTTTACAGTGTAATGTAATAAGTACACAGGGTAAGGACAGAATGAAGAAACCCTTGCTGATTACCTAGTATTTGCTAGGCACTGTGTTAGAAATTTAAAATTTAGTAGATCTTAAGTTTTTAAATTCTCCATTTTATAAGTGAGCAAACTGAAGCTCTCAGATTAAGTGATTTCAAAAAGTCACATAGCTAGTAAATGGGAGAGTTGGAATTTGAAACCATGTTCTTTCTGTTACTCCAGGAGTTGGCAAACTATGGTCTGTGGGCCAAATTCTGCCTACCACCTGTTTTTGTATGAGCTTCAAACTAAGAATGTATTTTCATATTTTTAAATGTTGGAAAAAATAAAATAATATTTTTGTGACACATTGAAATTGTAAGAAATTCAGGTATCAGTGTCTATAAATAAAGTTTTATTGAAACACAGTCATGCTCATTCATTTACATATTGTCTATGGCTACTTTTGTGCTATAAGGGCAGAGTTGAGTAGCTGCAACTCAGACCATATGGCTCTCAAAGTCTAAAATACTGTCTGGCCCTTTACAGAAAAAGTTTGCTGACTCCTGTACAGCACCATGCTGACTGAAGCCAACTGTCTTAGGAAATAAACATGACATTAGAGCAGGATCTTGAAGTTTAGTGGTTCCTTTAAGGGCAAAGAAGGCAAGAAGGGTATTCCAGGCAGAGAGAAGATAGATGTGTGAAAGAATGACATATTCTGGGAAGGAGGAATCATCTGTGTGGCTGAAACACAGAATGTGTGGAGATAAAGGGACATAAAATGAAGCTGGAGAGTAGGTAAGGGCTAGATAGTCAATGCCAGGCTAAGGAGTTTTGACTTTATCTGTAGGATAGGTGATGGCAAGCCCCTGATGTTCACTAAGCTGTAAAGAGTCACTCAGATTTGTGTGTCAGAAAATACAATCACTGTTACCTCCTCATTGTGAATTTCCAGCATGCTGAATGTAACCTGTATAGAGAAGAACACAAAGTAAATAAAGACTCTCTTGAAACAATTATCTTTGAAAAAAAAAAGACACAGAAACAACATAAATGTCCAACAAAGGGAAAAGCTAAAATTCAATATAGTAAAGTTCTATTTCACATGTAATATCAGGTTCTCAAATAATTTTAATGATATGGAGGAAGCTTTCAATGTAAATTAAAAACAAATACAAAATAGTGTGTGTGTGTGTGAGTGTGTATGTGTGTGTGTGTGTGAGTGTGTATGTGTGTGTGGGTGTCTCAACTGGGAACAGAAAAAGGTTGTTATTTATTACTCACCTCCCAACCCCAATGTTACGTAGAGAAGAGTTTTTACCAGAAGACTTGTCCCCTCTTTATTGTGCTTTTAGAACATTGCTAGCCAAGCTTACTTCTCCTTAGTAGGAGAATGGAGGACCCTTCTCTGGGAAAGCTGAATGGCTCTAGTCAGAAAATGCCTTAAGACACTGGCATTTTGCCACACAACCTCCTAAAGCTAGCTTGTCTGTTGATAACCCTGTAGTGAGTCTTGTCAGTCAAACCTCATATCCAAAAGATTCCAATTAGCTTCAGGTGTTGTTGTAGGGTGCTGTGGAGTCGACTTTCAACTCATAACCACCCCACATGACAGAGTAGAACTTCCCCATAGGGTTTCCTAGGCTGTAATCTTTACAGAAGCAGATCACCACGTCTTTCTCCCACAGAACTGTTGGATAGTTTGAACTATGAACCGAAAAGTTTAGCAGCCAAGAGCTTAACCATTGCGCCACCAGGTCTCCTTCACTAGCTTCAGAGTGTCTCATATTTTAAAATGAATGGCTAAAGATTAGCAGACAAGGAAAGCCTTCACTATAAAAAAGGGATCAAAACAAATAAATAGAAAGAAAAAGGAACTCAGAGAAAAAAGACAATGCAGAGCATAGAAGAAAACATTTTGAAAAGCCCTGTAATCAGTAACCTCAGAGAAATAAAGAATGATAGTCATGAAAAAAAAGGATGCTATTAAAAAGGAACAATTGGAGAAGAAAAGAGTTTTTGGAAATTAAATTTATGAATGATAAGCAAAATAAAAGTTCAATAGAAGGGTTATAAAATATAATCGAGGGAATCTTCTAGAGACAGAATAAAAAGACCAAGAAATTGAAAATAGGACATAAAAGATAATGAAATTAGGGCATTAGTACAGGAGGTCCAAAATCCAATTAATAGGAGTCCCAGAAAGGGAAAACAGAGGAAACAGAAGGGAGGAAATTATAAAAGAGATAATATAAGAAAGTTTCCCAGAATTGAAGGGCAGGAAACTACAGATTGAAAGGGTCTGCTGAGTGTCAAGCATAATGAATGAAAAAAGACCCATAGTAAGGCCAATCAGAACATCAGGGATAAAGAGAAGATCCTAAAAGCTGCCAAAGAGAAACTGACAATAAAAAAATGGTCACATAAAAAGAATTGGTGATCAGAATGGTACCAGGCTTGCCAGCTACAGCACTAGAAGTTAGAAGATAATGGAATAATGTCTTCAGTATTCTGAGAGACCTAGAATTCTATTACAAGTAAGCTTCAATCTAGTGTAGACATAAGAAAATATATTTCCAACTATGCAAGAATTAAAAAAAAAAAGTACCTCTGATGCACCTTTTCTGAGGAAGTCGCAGCAAAGGGAAATACTAAACCTAGAAAGAGAGGGGCCTCAAAGAAGAATTTTGAAGTTCCAGAATGACAGTTTTGGAATAGACCTAGAGAACCATGGCTCCAGATTGTAACAGGAGGATAGAAGATTTCTGCTGAAGGAGAACCAGGAAAAATAACAGAACTGATAAGTTGGAGCGCACCTACTCCGCACTTAGCCCTGGTGGTGCAGTGGTTAAGAGCTACAGCTGCTAACCAAAACGGTGGCAGTTGGAATCCAGCAGCTGCTCCTTGGAAACCCTATTGGGGCAGCTCTACTCTGTTCTATAGGGTCGGTATGAGTGGAAATTGACTCGACAGCAATGAATTTGGTTTTTGATTTTGGTTACTCCTCACTTATCAAGTATCTCGTTACCTGACACTTTGCATGTATGACAATAGTAAAAAATCTACCATCTGACTATTTTGTGCATTAATGACATATGTCTGGCAGTAACGAATGCCAAGGTGCAAGGTGAGAGTAACGCTGGTTGTGATTATTAAGCTTATGTCTCAACTTGGCTGGGCCATGATTCTCAGTGATTTGGCAGTTATGTGATCATGTAATTTGGCAGTTATGTAATGATATAATTTGGCAATTATGTAATGACATAGTTTTGCAGTTATGTAGTAATGTAATTTGGCAGTTATGTAACAATGTAATCACCTTCCATTTTGTGATCTGATGTGGTCATCCTCCATTTTCACATAATGCCTATTTTTGCAAAACAACCTGGTCTTTGGAACCTAACCATGTCGATAAGTGAATGGGTATGGAAAATATTATTAATAGGCACAAGACAGTAATTTGGAGCATTTAGAAAAACATAGGAAGATTTGTAGAAAACTAGACATAAGTTTTTAAAAGAAATTTAAAAACTCTGAGAAAAACAAAGTGTAGCAACAATATGTGCATTATTTGGCTCAGCAGTGAACAATATTTGCACAGCTAAAATGTTAAACACTATTGATTTAACCAAATCTTGTAATAGAACTATGCACAGGGTATGTGAGAGAAAAAGTATGTACGGTGGAGGCTGTTAGTGTGGTAGAGTTAAATCCTCTTCTGCCATGGTGGGAAGATAGCAGATAATGTCCAAAATTGCTTTCAAAGAAGAGAAAAGCCAGCATTATTTTTAAACAGGGAGGTAGATGCTAGAAAAAGTTCGAGTTGAAAATGGTAATCTGTGGGGATTAATAAGGAAGGGGAAGGTGAAGAGGGATGGTCAAAAAATTTGTGGTCTCCATTACAGTAAAACCTGTGAAAGCCAGAAACTGTGTAAGGTGGAAACCTGTCAGAGAAGGAAAACTCAAATATTTTCCACTAATACAGGACAATAGAAAAGTGGTAAGACCGCACCCTGTCAAAGGTGAAAAATTTATGAGACCTGGGTAAACAAGGTAGTCCCATCAAGTGCCGGCTCTCACAGGTCTCACTGTATAAGCCTTCGAATACTATTTGAGTTTTTTAAAAACAGCTTTATTGAGATATAATTCACATACCACATAGTTCACCCATTTAAAATGTACAATCCAATGATTTTTCGTATATTTACAAAGTTGTGCAACCATCACCACAAACCAAATTCAGAACATTTTTGTTCACCAGAAAGAAACCCATTAATAATCACTCCCCATTCACTTCCTTCTCCCCTCCCTCACCCCAGCCCTAGGCAACCACTAAGCTATTTTCTGTCTCTATAGATAAGCCCGTTCTGGTCATTTCATACAAACGGAATCAAACCATATATGACTTTTTGTGTCTAGCTTCTTTCACTTAGCAGAATGTTTTCAAGGTTCATCCATGTTGTAGACTATATTATATACCACAGTAGTATATGTAGTATATACCACATTTTATTCATCTATTCATCAGTTGATGTACATTTGGGTTGTTTCCATTTTTTGGCTATTGTGAACAATGCTGCTATAGAATATTTGTGTACAAATTTGTGTGTGGAAGTATGTTTTCTTTTCTCTTGGGTATTTGTGTTTTTAAGTCATACTTGTATTACTATGAAAAAAATTTAATTAAAAAAACTGGAAATAAATATAGAGTTGTTAATAGTAATTAATTGGGTGATGGGATTATGAGTAATTTTTATTCTAACTTGAAGAGGTTACTTTCAAAATCAGAAAAAATTTGGATAAAAAGAGATAATGTACTGTTGAATTTTTGTAACACAACTTTAATCTCTTCTTCCATTTAGAGGAGGCAGAAACATAGACTATGTTTACAGGTATTTGTTGACATTTTACTGTTATTTTTATAAAGCTAATTATGTTAGTGGTTACTCTCCATTTTAAAAATGTCACCAACCTTCAGTGAATCTAAATTTAGTCTTTGGTCTTCTATGCTAGGGCAAGTAAGAAACTATGCCAGGGCAGGTAAGAAACAAGATAACATTCTTTATATAGAAATTAAAAAATTAATTCTTGAGATGAGAACATTCCCACAATCTTGATAGAAGAGAGCAGCAAATGAAACCACAGACTTGAGTCAGCTGAGGTTTTGTGTTATAAACCTCAAGAATAATCCCTCGTTAATGTTAGCACCACCCGCCTGTCAGTTTGTTGTACTGTGGCGACTTGTGTGTTGCTGTGGTGCTGGAAGCTATGCTGGTACAGCAGAGTCATCCATGAAGGGCAGGTTTTAGCAGAGCTTCCAGACTTAGATGGACTAGGAAAAAAGTTCTGGCAATCTACTTTCAAAAATTAGCCAATGAAAACCCTGCAGAGCACAACCGAATATTGTCTGATATATTGCTGGAAGATGACCCAGTAGGGTGAAAGGTACTCAAAATATTGCAAAGTGGCTAGCAACAATGGACTAGAGCACTCTGATAATGAAGATGGTGCAGAGGACTAGGTGCTTCATTCTGCTGTACATAGGGTCGCCATGAGTCAGAGTTGACTCAACAGCAACTAACAACAAATATTAGCAATTAAGATGTATACGTCTATGATACCCAAAATGCCTTTAAAGAATATTTCCTCGGGGTTTCCTGCATAAAACCAGAAAAACTCAGCATCTTTTTTAGCTGCAACATGATTTTGTAATCAAGTAAACAGTTTAATATGAAAAATTAACATTATCCTAAAATAGAGATGCTGATAATTTCCATTGGGGTGTGGTTTACAAATGAAAGAATATAATTCCTCAAAGTAGGGATTCTACAATAATACATACCTGGTATTCTTGATTTTTCTCCCGGTTCTCAATTGCTTGAAAGAGCTCTTCACGTGCATTTGGAACAATACCCTTGTTTGCACCAAATCCAATCATGGAATAGCTTTTTCCAGAGCCAGTTTGACCATATGCCAGGAGGGCAGCATTATAGCCTTGCCAGGCATTGTCCAGAATTCCCCTGCCAAGATCGTGGAAAACATCTCTCTGGAAAGGAGATCAAAGGTGTCATGTTCAGCACAGGCCACAGGTACGTATAGTTATTCTTCCCTACTTTTCACAATATTCTTAAAATCTAACAAATATTCTGGTTTTATAAAGTCCACATTAATTAGTATCATATGACCTACTTGAAATATAACTCAGATGTTCTCTTAGAACCAGTGGGATAAAACTGGAAACCAAAAAAGGACTTACTTTATCCTAAATGCTAAAATGGAAAACATTGATCATTCACATTCATGGACCACACAGGTATATCTTGAACTAGGTAGCTCATATCCATCAATAATAAATCATGGATCACACAGGTGTACCCTGAACTAGGTAGCTAAAATCCATCCATAATAAATTTGTATATTTTACAGCCTTGCCAAAATATGGGCTAGGGCTTTCAAATTAAGCAATTGGACAAAAAAATTCAAGGGAACCAAAGGGAAGAAGCCAGTCAAAGAGTTTTGTACTTCGCCTTCATTCTTTAGCCCAAGAAATACCAGCACCCATTGCCTCAAGTCAACTCTGACTCACAGCGAGCCCATAGTGTCAGAGTAGAACGGTCCTTCAGTGGGTTTTCAGTGACTGATTTTTCAGAAGTAGATCATCAGGTCTTTCTTCCAAGGTGCCTCTGGGTAGACTTGAACCTCCAACCTTTGGTTAGCAGTGAGTGCGTGAGCCATGTGCACCACCCAGGGACTCCAACCCAAACAGTAACTTAACAAAATAACCACACTAATTTTAGCCCTCTGTGGTGAGCTCTATCCTTTTTTTTTTTCTCCCACAAGACCTAGTTCTTCCAGGCATTTCTCCAAAACACACACACACACACAAACACACACACACACACACGCACGCACACACTTTTTTTTTTTCTTTTTCTTTTTAGTAGGAGACATAGATGCTTGTGCCCACAATTGCTTCGAAGAGGGGCTCCTTTTATTATCTGGGCCATGGTCATTACCAGAAATAACTTTCTTATTTAAGGCTGTTTCAAAGGGCATATTCCTCCCTCCTCTCTAATATTAGTATTTAAACAGTAAGTAAGCATTACATGCTCCGTTTGTTGCAATACATACATATGTATAATTTATATAATTTATATTTCTGGGAAAGATACAGATACCAACTTAGTGTACTTTAATATAAGGACAGTAAACAGCAACCAACTTTCTTATACTATTTGTTTTTCATAAAAAAGGAATACAAATTATTACATTGCAATGGTCAGAGGAGCTCCAGGCCTACAGTGTGGAATTTAACAGTACTGTGATAATGCTTCTACCAGAAAAATGTATTTATATAATAGATGTCTACTCTACCTTAGGAGCAATTAGTAACCTAAGCTGTGCTTGAAAACCCTGGTGGCACAGTGGTTAAGAGCTTGGCTGTTAATCAAAAGGTCGGCAGTTCGAATCTACCAGGCGCTCCTTGGAAACCCTATGGGGCAGTTCTACTCTGTCCTGTAGGGTTGCTGTGAGTGGGAATCGACTTGATGGCAACGGGTTTTGGGTAAGCAGTGCTTACTAAGCTTAGTAAAGCAACTGGTTTTGCTGTCTTCTCAGCACTATGTGCAGATTTGGGAAAATATTGCTTTTATTGCCCTTAATTTTTATGGATTAAAAACTTCAAACAAGTAATACAGAATTTTATTAAATGAACTCCGTGATGGTTAAGGTTGTGTGTCAACTTGACTAGGCCATAATTGTCAGTGGTTTGGCAGTTACGTAGTTTGGCAGCTATGTAATGATGTAATCACTTCAATAATGAAATCTGATATAATGTAATCATCTTCATGATGAGATCTGCTATAAGCAGCCAATCAGTCGAAAGGGAGTTTCCTTAGGGGTGTGGCCTGCATCCAATATATGTGGACTTTCTCTCAAAGCTCACTGGCTTTTGCTCACTCTGGACCTGCAGCTGGCTCCTGTTCATGTGACCTCCAGTTCTTGGGATTTGAGCTAGCAGCTTACCTGCCGATTGTGGGATTTGTCAGTCTCCACAGCCTGTGAGCCAGATGCCTGCCATCTGATCTGCTGATCTTGAGTTCACCAGCTCCTGCAGCTACATGAGTCAGAAGAAGCCTCCAGCCTGACCCATGGACTTGGGAATTTCCAGCCTCTACAACTGTGTGAGCCATTTCCTTGATATAAATCTTTCTCTCTCTCTCTCTCTCTCTATATATATATATACATATATATACACACCCTTCACTGGTTTTCCTTCTCTAGAGAACCCAGCCTAAGACAAACTCTAGGTAGAAAATAGACTCATTCTATAAATTTTGTTCAGTGTACAGTTTTCTGTTGAAATATCTTTTGGGTATCATTTATATATACAAAAGTCAAGAAGTCATAGAATTATATTTCTTATTTCTTCCTACCCATCATCATATAATCCACTACTGCAAACATTTCCTATACTACAATACATGAAACAATAATTCTGAAGAACTGTAATAGGTGTTCAAAAAAACTCATTTTGGGGTGGGAAGAGAAGCAATTTCTTTATAGCATACTTCTTGCACTCTTTAAAAAATATCTTTATTGAAGTAAAGTAAAATTAAATAAAAAAATTTAATATTTATTGAATTCACCCATTTTAAGTATATAGTTGGATGAGTTTTGATAAATGTATTCAGCCATGTGACTACCACCAAAATAAGATATATTAAAAAACTCAGTTGCTGTTGAGTCCACTCAGACTCAGGGCAACCCCATGTATGTTAGAATTATGCTTCATAGGGTTTTCAGTGACTGATGTTTCAAAGTAGATTGCCAGGCCTTTCTTCCAAGGAGCCTCTGGGTGAACTTGAACCTCCAACCTTTTGGTTAGCAGCCGACTGTATTAAATGTTTGCACCATCCAGGGACTCCCAATCAAGATATATAACATTTTAATCACCTCGAAAATTTCCCTTGTGAACACAACAGAGAGTCCCTGATGGCACAGGAGAAAAGCTGGGTATAGAACTCAAATTCTAGGGAAAAAAACAGAATTAATGGTCTGACTGAGACTGGAGGAACCCACCAGAAGACATGGCCCCTGGACTGTCTGTTAACCCAGAACTAAAACCATTCCCGAAGCCAACTCTTCAGACAAAGAATAGACTGGACTATAAGACATAAAATGATACTAGTGAAGAGTGTGCTTCTTAGTTCAAGTAGATACACAAGACTAAATGGGTAGCTCCTGTCCGGAGGGGAGATGAGAAGGCAGGAAGGGATAGGAGCTGGTTGAACGGACACGGGAAATCTAGGGTGGAAAGGAGGTGTGCGCTGTCACATTATAGGGATGGCAACTAGGGTCACATAACAATGCGTGTATAAATGTTTGTATGAGAAAGTAACTTGAGCTGTAAACTTTCACCTAAAGCACAGTTAAAAAAAAAAGTTCCCTTGAGCCACTTTGTAGTCAATCCCCTCCTCCCACCTTCAGCCCCTGGCAACTAATTTACTTTCTGTAACTAAGTGTTGTTTTTTCTAAAATTGCCATATAAATGGAATCATACAGTATGTAGTCTTTTGTATGTGGCTTCTTTCACTTAGTACAATGCTTTTGAGAATCATTCATCTTGTTGCATGTAATCAGTAGTTTCTTTTATTACTTAATAGTATTCTGTTGTATAAATATATCACAATTCGATTATCCATTCATAAGCTGATTTGAGTGAAACAATATCTGAGTTGTTTCCAGTTTGGGACTATTATATATAAAGTTGCTATGGGCATTTTGATACAGGTCTTTGTGTAAGGATACATATTTTATTCTTCTTGGAATTGCTGGGCTGTATCATTAACTGCAAAGAGCCCTGGTGGTGCAGTGGTTAAGCACTTGGCTGCTAATGGAAAGGTCAGTAGTTCCAACTCAGCAGTTACTCTACTGGAGAAAGATGGGGCAATCTGCTTCCATAAAGATTACAGACTTGGAAACCCTACGAGGCAGTTCTACTTTGTCCTGTAGGGTCATTATGATTCGGAATCGACTTGATAGCAATGGGTTTGGTTTTGGTTTTATCACTAACAGCATATTTAAATTTTAAAGAAACTGCCTGCTTTCCAAAATAACTGTACCATTTTGCATTCCCATAGGCAATGTATGAGAGTTCCAGCTGCTCCACATGCACATCAACATTTGGTATTGTCAGTCATTAATTTTTGCCATTTTTGTGGATATATAGTATTATCTCACTGTGGTTTTAATTTGCATTTCCCTAATGACTGATGAGGTTGAACAATTTTTTCATTGACTTTTGACTATTTATCCAGTGACACCTCTGATCAAATCTTTTGTCATTTTTAAAAACTGACTTTTTTTTCTTACAGAGTTGTAACAGTTCTTTATATATTCTGGATGTTTTATCAGATACATGTTTTGCAAATATTTGCTTTCTTGGTGATTTGACTCTTCATTTTCTTACTGGTATTTTTCAAAGAGCCAAAGTTTTTATTTTTTATTAAATCTCATCAAAGATTTTCTTTTATGGTTTATGCTCTTTGTGTCCTAAGAAATATTTGCCAAACTGGAAATCACAATTTTCTCTTATCTTTTCTTTTAGAAGTTCTATAATTTTAGCTCTAACATTTAGGTAGGTAATCCATTGTGAGTTAATTTTTGCATATGGTGTGAGGAAAGGATTAAGGTTCATTTTTTTCCATATGGATATCCAGTATCTCCCGCACCATTTGTTGAAAATATTTTCCTTTTGAACTATTTTGACACATTTGTAGAAAATCAATTGATGATATATGAGGGTCTATTTCTGGACACGCTATTCTGTTCCACCGATCTGTATGTCCCTCGTTAAGCCCACACCACACTGTCTTGTTATTGTAGCTTTATAGTAGGCTTTTAAATTGACAATGTAAATTCTCCAATTTTATTATCTTTAAAATAATTTTGGCTATTTTAAGCCTGTCTTAGTCATCTAGTGCAGCTCCAACAGAAATACCACAAGTGGATGGCTTTAGAAAGGGAAATTTATTCTCTCACAGT